TGTGATTTTGGAATGGCTGGTTCTATGTTTAGTGCCTCTTTTAGGAGCTCTTGTAAAGCAGGCTTGGTGGTGACAAAATCTCTGAGTACTTGCTTGTTCGCAAAGGATTTTATTTTTCCTTCACTTCTGAAGCTCAGTTTGGCTGGATATGAAATTCTGGGTTGAAAGTTCTTTTCTTTAAGAATGTTGAATATTTGCCCCCACTCTCTTCTGGCTTGTAGTGTTTCTGCAGAGAGATCTACTATGAGTCTGATGGGCTTCCCTTTGTGGGTAACTCGACCTTTCTCTCTGGCTGCCCTTAGTATTTTCTCCTTTATTTCAACCTTGTTGAATCTGACGATTATGTGCCTTGGGGTTGCTCTTCTTGCAGAATATCTTTGTGGTGTTCTCTGTATTTCCTGCATTTGAGTGTTGGCCTGTCTTGCTTGGTGGGGGAAGTTTTCCTGGATGATGTCCTGAAGAGTATTTTCCAGCTTGGATTCATTCTCTTCGTCTCCTTCTGGTACACCTATCAAACGTAGGTTAGGTCTCTTCACATAGTCCCACATTTCTTGGAGACTTTGTTCATTCCTTTTTGCGCTTTTTTCTCTAATCTTGGTTTCTCGTTTAATTTCATTGAGTTGGTCTTCGACTTCAGATATTCTTTCTTCTGCTTGGTCAATTCGGCTATTGAAACTTGTGCATGCTTCGCGAAGTTCTTGTATTGTGTTTTTCAGCTCCTTTAATTCATTCATATTCCTCTCTAAGTTATCCATTCTTGTTATGATTTCCTCATATCTTTTTTTAAGTTCCTTAGTTTCTTTGCATTGATTTAATACATGATCTTTTAGCTCACAAAAGTTTCTCATTATCCACCTTCTGAAGTCTAATTCCGTCATTTCATCACAGTCATTCTCCATCCAGCTTTGTTCCCTTGCTGGTGAGGAGTTTTGGTCCTTTCTAGGAGGCGAGGTGTTCTGGTTTCGGGTGTTTTCCTCCTTTTTTTGCTGGTTTCTTCCCATCTTTGTGGGTTTATCCGCTTGTCGTCTGCCTAGTTGCTGACTTTTCGATTGGGTCTCTGAGTGGACACCCAGATTGTTGATGATGAAGTATTTCTGTTACTTGGTTTTCCTTCTACCAGCCTAGCCCCTTCGCTGTACGACTGCTGAGGTCCACTCCAGGCCCTGCTTGTCTGGGGTGCACCTCTAGCAGCTGTGGCACAGTGAGGGATGCTACCAGTTTCTTTTTCTGCTATCTTTGTCCCAGGATGATGCCTGCCAAATATCAGTCTTTTGGATATAGAGGGGTCAGGGAGCTGTTTGAGGAGACAGTCTGTACTTTTTTGGAGCTCAATTGCTGAGCTGTGAGCTCTGTTGTTCATTCAGGGCTGTTAGGCTGCTATGTTTGATTCTGCTGCAACAGAGCTCATTAAATAAACCCTTTTTTTATCAAATGCTCTGTGTTGGGGGGTTCGGGCTTTATTTTTCAATGTCCGTTGAGGTGTCCTGCCCAGCTAGGAGGCAGACTAGCCACTGTTTGCCTGCCGAGGCTCCGCCCTGCTGTTGTGTGATTCGCCCTGTTCCTGCAGGCTCTGCTGTGGTCTCTGCCACGCCCTGCGGCAGAGTCTCTTCGTTGTAGCGTGTTGCCTCAGAAAGGGCAGGCTGTGTCAGCAGTGGGCGTGTATCTCAGTAGGGACGGGTTGCCTCGGCAACGGCTGGCTGCATCAGCAGTGGGCGGGTATCTCAGTTGGGACGGGTTGCCTCGATAGTGGTGGACGCCCCTCCCCCACAGATCATCTCGGACTGTCTGCTCGGGATAGTTTGAAATTGCGGTTTTGTTCGTCCCACTGGGTACCCCAAACGCTCTGTCCCTGCAATCCCCTGGGCTGGCTTACTGTCCAAGTCTCGTTCAGTCTCAAGTCCAGCCCTCTCAAGTTTCAGGTTGCCGGTTCAACAGGGCACCCGGACAAGTGCGCCCTGTGTGGATTGCTGGGTAGGGCCGGCTGCCGCCACCCCTGCTGCCGGCTTCACCAGGCAGACGTACTGCCTGGCGTCCCGTGTCTTTTTTATACTTGGGAGTTTCCCCGTTCTGTGGGCAACAAAGATCAGTCTGGAAATGCAGCTCCGACTCACCTCTTTGCGGATTCAACGAGAGCTCCAATCCTGGGTTGTTCTCACAGTGCCATCTTGAGTGCTCTCTGCATTTTCCTTTTCATTTCCTCTTACAATATCTGCTTTTACTGCTTTCTTTTGAATTTCATCCCTTAAGAAAATATTATTAGAACACATTTCTAACATAGGTATGTTTGACAACTATATATTATTTCCTTTTAAGAGAATTAGCTACCTATTCTAAAGCATATCTTGTATTCTATTAATCTTTAATGCTAAACTTCTTGATATCTTTAGCACAATGACATTGTAAGTGATGACAGTCCTTTAAGATTTTAGGTGTCTTTTAAATTTTCAAATTTTAAATGTCTTTTAAATTTTCAAACTTAACATAGTTTTAATATAAAACACTTCCCTGGTATTACCTTTCTTCAAATATTGCTAATCTGTTACTTAGCTGGAATAATTGGTCAATTGGATTACCAGAGTTTTAACCATTTATATATAACTTTCTTGATTTTGTTTTTTGTTTTTGTTTTTCTTTGAGATTGAGTCTTTTGCTGTCCCCCAGGCTGGAGTGCAATAGTGTGATCATAGCTCACTGCAGCCTCAAACTTCTGATTTCAAGTGATCTTCCTACCTCAACCTCCTGAGTCGCTGAAACTGCTATAAGCATATGCCACCACATCCAGCTTTTTTATTTTTTTTATTTTTCAGAGACAAGGGTCTCTCTCTGTTGGCTAGGCGAGTCTTAAACTTTTTCCTTCAAGTGATGCTCCTGCCCCAGCCTCCCAAAGTGGTGGAATTATAGGCATGAGCTATGGTGCTGGTCCATAACTTCCTTTATTCCCCAAATAAGTTTAAAGCCCTCTTGACCCTTGATAATAAAAATCCACTGTTTGGGAGGAGAAGTGGATAACTCATCCTACAGTTTAAATGCAGTTTTTGACTTTTTGACCTGTTCTGTGAAGAACTGCCTTTAACAGATGATTTTTAGTTTTAATAGACATTTTTAGTCTTATAAGAAGCTAAGGAAAAAGATTAGAAACAAATTAATTGAGCTCTATGATCAGTGGTACAGTATTATACTATATCCAATGGCTACATATATTTCTATAATTATTACAATGACTTGAATGATGAAAATTATTTTATGTATGTTTTCACTAATTTTTTTTTTTTTGAGACAGAGTCTTGCTCTGTTGCCCATGCTGGAGTGCAGTGGTGTAATCTCAGCTCACTGCAACCTCCACATCCTGGGTTCAAGCGATTCTCCTGCTTCAGCCTCCTGCGTAGCTGGGACTACAGGTGTGCACCACCATGCCTGGCTAATTTTTGTATTTTTAGTAGAGACTGGGTTTACACCATGTTAGCCAGGATTGTCTTGATATCCTGACCTCATCCACCAGCTTTGACCTCCCAAAGTGCTGGGATTACAGGTGTGAGCCACTGTGTCCAGCCTACTAATACATTTTAGAGATAGAGTCTCACTCTGTTTTCCAGGCTGGAATGCAATGGTTATTCACGGGCACAATCTGCACTGCAGCCTGGAACTTTTGATCTCAAGCAATCTTTCTGCCTCAGCCTTTGGAGTAGTTGGGACTGCAGGTGCATGTCATTGCACCTGACCTGATACCCAATTATTATAAAAGAAACCTTGCTGAGCTGAAGAAAATTGACTGTGATCTGTTTGTTTCTCTTCTAGAATCTTTCATACTATGGGATATATTTTTAATTATCCACATTCTCAATTTTTTTATTCTGGTTAAAATAGGATTGTGGGTTGTTTTTCATTTTTTTTGGCATAATTGTTTCTATTCCTTTTATGGATTTATTCAAGCAGAAATACAGGAATCTTTAAGGCAACTGTCAAGGAAAACAGATTGGGGAAAGGTATTTTGTAAAACAGCTTTCTGATTGTAGTTACATGTCACATCACTTTAAAGAAAACAAATTTCATATAATGCAGTTGTGCCAGGATTTCCCAAGACTGCCTCTCTGTTTGGTGATTCACTTGGAAGGACTCAGCCAACAGTCATACTCAGGGCTTTGACTTGTTACAGTGAAAGAATACAAAATAAAATTAGCTCAGGGCAAAGGGACATGTGGCATGTCTGGGGGAAGCCAGGCACAAGCTTCCAGGAGCCCTCTCCTGTGGAGGTACCAGGATGTGCTTAATTCCTGTAGCCTTGAATTTTGACAGCACACGTGCAATGTTGTTTACCAGTATGAGTTTCATAGAGACTTAATAGAGTATCCAAAGATTTTATGGAAGCTACTTATATAGGCATCCTCTCTCACATGTGCAAAAGTTCCAGACTTCCAGAAGAAAAGCAGCTGTTCAGAGTCAACCACATTGTTTATGCAAACAGTTTAGGTACAGTGATCTTCTTTTCTCAGTTAGAAAATGGTGAGAAATCTTTAAAATACAAATTTCCAAACACCAGTGAAGGGCCAGTTTTGCATGTAGGTCTTTCTAAAATGACAGTCTTATGACTGTTATGTGAATTATTTTCTTTACAGCAGTTATAGCCCCAACTTAATTTTAGGTATTGTCTTAAAAATTCTATTTTAATAGTGAATAGTATGGTGATATAGCATGGTGCTTATTTCATTTGCATGAGTTGCAATTTAATATGAAATACTAAGTTTCTGTGCTGTTAGATTTTTGACTTTTGGTGGATATTTAACAGATTTCTATACAGAAGTTACTATGGCAATATTAGGTAATTATAATCTGGTCTTATTCGATTAACCTTTCAGCAAAATGGTCAAACTAAGTAATTTCTGATTTAAAATTAAAATAAAAAATTTATTTTGTTTTAATTATGTAGATGGCTCAGTCTTGTTTTATATTTTGTTAAATTTCTGTTTATAATTATGAAATTAAAAAAATCATGTATTAGTTATTTTCTTGCCTACTAATAACAATTATTTGCTTTATGTATTTTTATATACTATAATTCTGGAGTGAATATTCCTATTCTGTTTAAAATTGAGTGTATCTTGCTATAATACATGGTAGTAGAAGATTTAGTGACAGTCTTTTTTGTCAAATTATACTTTAAGTTATGGGGTTCATGTGTAGAATGTGCAGGTTTGTTTCATAGCATAATGGTGATTTGCTGCACCCATCATCCTGTCATCTGCATTAGGTATTTCAAAGCTAATGCTATCCCTCTCCAGCCCTCCACCCACCGATAGGCTCTGGTATGTAATATTCCCCTCCCTATATCCACATAACTCCCACTTATGAGTGACAACATGTGGCGTGTGGTTTTCTGTTCTTGTGTTAGTTTGTTGAGAATGATTGTTTTCAGCTTTATCCATGTCCCTGCAGAGAACAAGAACTCATTTTTTTGATAGCTGCATAGTATTCCATGGTATATATGTGTCACATTTTCTTTATCCAGTCCATCATCGATGGGCATTTGGGTTGGTTCCAAGTCTTTGCTATGTGAACAGGGCTTAGATAATCATATGTGTGCATGTGTCTTTACAAAAGAATGATTTACAAATTTTGGGTATATACCCAGTAATGGGATTGCCAGGTCAAATAGTATTTCTGGTTCTAGATCCTTGAGGAATCACCACACTGTCTTCTACAATGGTTGAACTAATTGATACTCCCACCAACAGTGTAAAAGCATTCCTATTTCTCCACATGCTCTCCAGCATCTCTTGTCTCCTGATTTTTTTAATGATCGCCATTCTAACTGACATGGGATGGTATCTCATTGTGATTTTGTTTGCATTTCTCTAATGACCAGTGATGATAAGCTTTTTTTCGTATGTTTGTTAGCTGCATAAATGTCTTCCTTTGAGAAGTGTCTGTTCGCTTCCTTCACCCATTCTTTTGATGAGGTTGTTTGTGTTTTTCCTGTAAATTTAAGTTCTCCATAGATTCTGGATATTAGCCCTTTGTCAGATGGGTAGAGTGCAAAACTTATTTCCCATTCTGTTGGTTGCCGGTTCACTCTATTGATAGAGTGAACTGTCTTCAGATGCATTTAGAATATTTGCATAAAAGAAAATTTGACCGTGGCTGCTCCAGGAACTACTGGAAGCAGAAAGACAGCTGGAATTAAGATAAACCACACTGACTCATTACTTCTCTTTGTTACTGTTAGGCAACAGAGATACATTTTTTTTTTTTAAGTTATAAAAATGAGATAAACTTGAATACAAATACATTGTTGTTTAAGGAGCTAACTCTTGGATAAAATAGCTATTTAATGCAAATTCTTTAGAAAATAATATGATACTTCAAACAAGATATTTAGAAATAAAAGTATTGTTGAATTCATTAATTTACTCTAAAATTGTTTTTTTCAATGAATATCGAAAAAATTTTTCCACACACACCTTTGTCTGTGAACTCGGTCGCATGTGGTTCTTGCATGACGGTCCCCGGCTCTGGCTGCCTGGTTCGGCCCTGAAGGCCAGGTTGGTGCACACCAGCGGCGGTGGATGGGCGGCCCGGGATCTCAGGACTGGCTGCTGGTGGGATGGACACCCTGGAGGAGGCAACTTAGGCCAATGGGAGCACAGCACTGCTCCCACCCCTGGCGCCAAACATCAGTGTACCTCATCGCTGCCTGCTGCTGCTCTACGAAGACATTGGCACCTCTAGGGTCCAGTACTGGGACCTCATGCTGCTCATCCCCAATGTGCTCTTCCTCATCTTCCTGCTCGCGAAGCTTCCATCTGTTCGGGCCAAGATCCGCATGACCTCCAGCCCCATTTTTATTACCTTCTACATCCTGGTGTTCGTGGTGGCGCTGGTAGGCGTTGGCTGGGCCGTGGTGTCCATGACGGTGAGCACCTCGGATGCTTCAACTGTTGCTGATAAGATGCTGTGGGAGATCACCTGCTTCCTCCTGCTGGCATCGAGCTGAGTGTGATCATCCTGGGTCTGGCCTTCGGCCACCTGGAGAACAAGTACAGCATCAAGCAGGTGCTGGCCATCACCATGGTGTTGTCCCTGGCCTATTCTGTCACCCAGGGGACCCTGGAGACCCTGTACCCTGATGCCCATCTCTCAGCTGAGGACTTTAACATCTATGGCCATGGGGGCCGCCAGTTCTGGCCGGTCAGCTCCTGCTGCTTCTTCCTGGTATACTCTGGTGGTCATCCTCCCCAAGACCCGGCTGAAGGAGTGCATTTTCCTGCCTTCTTGGAGGAGCTTCTACGTGTATGCGGGCATCCCGGCGCTGCTCAACCTGCTACAGGGGCTGGGGAGTGTGCTGCTGTGCTTGGACATCATCGAGGGGCTCTGCTGTGTAGACACCACAACCTTCCTATACTTCAGTTTTTTTCGTGCTGCTCATCTATGTGGCCTTCCTCCGGAGCTTCTTCCTCTCGGAACCCAAGATCCTCTTCTCCTACAAATGCCAAGTGGATGAGACAGAGGAGCCAGACATACAGCTACCCCAGCCCTACGCTGTGGCCCAGCAGGAGGGCCTGGAGGCTGCAGGGGCTGCTGGGTCCTCAGCTGCCAGTTACTCGAGCACGCAGTTCGACTCTGCTGGTGGGGTGGCCTACCTGGACGACATCGCTTCCATGCCCTGCCGTACTGGCAGCATCAACAGCACGGACAGTGAGCGTTGGGAGGCCATCAATGCCTTAGAATGGCTGTTGGGGCCTGCAGAGGACAGGCCAGAGAGGAGGTCAGAGGGCCCAGAGTCCCTGGGGGAGGAAGACCAGGTCACAGGACCTGTGGGTGGTAGCCCTGTGCGGCTCTGTTCCCATCATGAGTCTGGAGGCCCCCACCTCCCTGGGGCTCCTGATACCCTTTGCCATCTCTGCTTTCACTGGGGACCCTCCTCCCCTTCCCACCTACTCTCATCCTGCTTAGCCACATGGCCCAGGCTTTCCTTCCAGGGCCATGCTTGGCAAGGCTGGCCAAGGGCACCGTCCTTCTCTGCACCCTTGGCACAAGGGCAGGGCTGGCTCTCCCAATGCCTCCATCCCGTCTCCATGGTGCTTTGGCCTCCTCAAAGCCCACCATGGTGGATGTACTGAAGTGTGTATATTTTCTTGATCTGTTTTTTAATAAAAAGGAAAAGGAACAGAAAAAAAAAAAAAAACCACAAAGGACAGGAGAAGTCGGGAAGGCCGGGTCCGGCACGGGCGCCGTGCTCTGACGGAGGGCAGGCAGCCCCGGCCAGGGCGGCCCGTGGGACCGCGGGCCCTGGGCGCAGCGCTGCCTGGCTCCGGGTCCTGCTGGCCTCCTCCCTCGGCACCGCGGCCATGGCGGCCAGCGCGAAGCGGAAGCAGGAGGAGAAGCACCTGAAGACGCTGCGGGACATGACTGGCCTCCTGCACAACCGACCGAAAGTGCTTCGACTGCGACCAGCGTGGCCCCACCTACGTGAATATGATGGTCGGCTCCTTCGTGTGTACCTCCTGCTCCGGCAGCCTGCGAGGATTAAATCCACCACACAGGGTGAAATCTATCTCTATGACAACATTCACACAACAGGAAATTGAGTTCTTACAAAAACATGGAAATGAAGTCTGTAAACAGATTAGGCTAGGATTGTTTGATGATAGATCCTCAGCAATTCCAGACTTCAGGGATCCACAAAAAGTGAAAGAGTTTCTGCAAGAAAAATATGAAAAGAAAAGATGGTATGTCCCACCAGAACAGGCCAAAGTCGTGGCATCAGTTCATGCATCTATTTCAGGGTCCTCTGCCAGTAGCACAAGCAGCACACCTGAGGTCAAACCACTGAAATCTCTCTTAGGGGATTCTGCCCCAACACTGCACTTAAATAAGGGCACACCTAGTCGGTCCCCAGTTGTAGGTTGTTCTCAAGAGCAGCAGCAGGAGAAGAAGCAGTTTGACCCATTAAGTGACCTTGGCTCAGACATCTTTGCTGCTCCAGCTCCTCAGTCAATAGCTACAGCCAATTTTGCTAACTTTGCACATTTCAACAGTCATGCAGGTGGAAGCGCTGCATCAGTAAATGCTAATTTTGCCCATTTTGATAGCTTCCCCAAATCCTCCAGTGCTGATTTTGGAACCTTCAATACTTCCCAGAGTCATCAAACAGCACTGTTAGTAAAGTTTCTACGAACAAAGCTGGTTTACAGACAGCAGACAAATATGCAGCACTTGCTAATTTAGACAATATCTTCAGTGCTGGCCAAGGTGGTGATCAGGGAAGTGGCTTTGGGACCACAGGTAAAGCTCCTGTTGGTTCTGTGGTTTCAGTTCCCAGTCAGTAAAGTGCATCTTCAGACAAGGATGCAGCTCTGGCAGAACTAGACAGCGTTTTCAGTTCTGCAGCCACCTCCAGTAATGCATATACTTCCACAAGAAATGCTAGCAGCAATGTTTTTGGAACCGTGCCAGTGGGTGATTCTGCACAGACACAGCCTGCTTCATCAAGTGTGCCTGCTCCATTTGGAGCTACACCTTCCACAAATCCATTTGTTGCTGCTGCTGGTCCTTCTGTGGCATCTTCTACAAATCTATTTCAGACCAATGCCAGAGGAGCAACAGCGGCAACCTTTGGCACAGCATCCATGAGCATGCCCATGGGATTTGGCACTCCTGCTCCCTACAGTCTTCCTACCAGCTTTAGTGGCAGCTTCCAGCAGCCTGCCTTTCCGGCCCAAGCAGCTTTCCTTCAACAGCGGCCCAAGCAGCTTTTTTTCAACAGCCCAATGGTGCAGGTTTTGCAGCATTTGGACAGACAAAGCCAGTGGTATCCCTTTTGGTCAAGTTGCAGCTGCTGGAGTATCTAGTAATCCTTTTATGACTGGTGCACCAGGACATAAAACAGGAAGCTCATCCACCAACCCTTTCTTATAGCCTTATATAGATAATTTACTGGAACGAACTTTTATGTGGTTACATTACATCTCTCCACCTCTTGCACTGTCTTGTTTCACTGATCTTAGCTTTAAACACAAGAGAAGTCTTTAAAAAGCCTGCATTGTGTGTTAAACACCAGGTGATAATGTGCAAAAGCGAGAGCTCCAGTAACACCATTTAACCTGTGAATGGGCAGAAAAGGGTAGCAGTATCATGTATAGTAAAATTGGCTATTATTAATTTATTGCAGGTACCACATTCATTATGCTGCAGTACTGTACATATTTTTCTTAGAAATTAGCTATTTGTGCATATCAGTATTTGTAACTTTAACACATCGTTGTGTGAGAAATGTTACTGGGGAAATAGATCAGCCACTTTTTAAGGTGCTGTCATATATCTTGGAATGAATGACCTAAAATCATTTTAACCATTGCTACTGGAAAGTTAGAGTCAAAATTGGAAGGTTTTATTCATTCTTGAATTTTTCCTTTCTAAAGAGCTCTTCTATTTATACATACCTAAATTCTTTTAAAATGTAGAGGGATACCTGTCTGCATAATAAAGCTGATCATGTTTTGCTACAGTTTGCAGGTGAAAAAAATAAATATTATTAAAAAAAATTAAAAAAAGACTCGTGCGCACCCCACCCGCCCCTGTATTCCCCTCCTTCGCTGGCAGGTGGAGATGACGGGCAGCAGCGTCTTCGACTACATCCACCCAGGGGACCACTCGGAGGTGCTGGAGCTACTGGGACTGTGGGCACTGACCCCCGGTCCCCCAACCCCGCCCTCCATCTCCTCCACTTCCTCCTCCTCCTCTTCCTCTTTGCTTGCGGATACCCCCGAAATCGAGGCCAGCCTCACCAAGGTGCCCCCCTCCTCCATGGTCCAGGAGCACTCCTTCTTTGTCCACATGAAATCCACGCTCACCAAGAGGGGGCTGCACGTCAAGGCCTCGGGGTACAAGGTCATCCACGTGACTGGGCCCCTTTGGGCCCACGCCCTGGGCCTTGTGGCCCTTGGGCACACGTTGCCCGCCGCTCCCCTGGCTGAGCTGCCACTCCATAGACACATGATCGTCTTCCGTCTCCACCTGGGTCTCACCATCCTTGCTTGTGAGAGCAGAGTCAGCGACCACATGGACCTGGGGCCCTCAGAGCTGGTGGGCCGCAGCTGTTACCAGTTCGCTCACGGACAGGTTGCCACCAGGATCTGCCAGAGCCATGTGGACTTGCTGGACAAGGGTCAGGTGATGACTGGTTACTACCGTTGGCTACAGCGCACTGGGGGCTTCGTGTGGCTGCAGTCTGTGGCCACGGTGGCTGGCAGCGGGAAGAGCCCCAGGGAGCACCATGTGCTTTGGGTCAGCCTTGTGCTCAGCCAAGCTGAGGGTGGCCAAACTCCTTTGGATGCTTTCCAGCTTCCAGCCAGTATGACCTGCGAGGACTCATCCAGCCCGGGACGAGAGCCCACAGAGCCGGAGACTCCCGCAGAAGGGAACTAGACTGCCTCGCTGGAGAAGGAGGCCCCACAGATGCAGGGCAAACGCATCAAAGTGGAGCCCGTCCCGAGGGAAACCAAAGGCTCAGAGGACAGTGGCGACGAGGATCCCTCTGGCCACCCGGCCCCACCGCGGCCCAAGTTCACCTCTCTCATCCGGGCGGGGGCCCTGAAGCAGGACCCAGTGCGGCCGTGGGGCCTGGCACCTCCCATGGAACCCCCCCGCCCGCCCTCCTGCATGCGGGCTTCCTGACCCTTGTCCTGCATGTGACATTCGCTATGGCCCTGTGGAGCTGGGCCTGGTGTACCCGCATCTGCAGAGGCTGGGCCCAGGCCCTGCGCTCCCAGAGGCCTTTTACTCGCCCCAGGGTCTGCAGGCACCAGGACGCCACAGAAGGGGGACTGAGGACTGGCAGAGCCGCCGGCGTTGGATCTTTCGAAGGCTGGGGGCCCCTCCGGGACAGCGGCCCTGCTCTGCCCTTAGCCCTGAGAATTAAAGTCCGGCTCCCCCTGCAGTAGTTTGGGCTCCAAAACAAAACAAAACAAAACAAACAAACAAACAAAAAACTCATGGCTCCAATTTGCTCGTGGATGCACCCACTCCCACGTTTTTTGTACTTAAAAGCCACATTACAAGCTGCCATCCATCCCCTCCCCGTTTCTGTGGACCTTGGGACCTTTTTTTTTTTTGGCAAGATTTGAGTAGTTTAATGAGTTTTACTTATTAGAGGTAAAACTCACATGTTTTACCTCTAATAAGTAAATTGTATCTAATTTTTTTCAATAAAGATGTTTTCAATACCCATTTTTAGAATAAAGCAACATTCCCGTTCTCTCTCCCTCTTTCTCCTCTTTCTTCCTCTTCATTCAAAAAAAAAAAAAAAAACTTCAGATAACCACCCTAGCTCTTTACTCCTCTTTGTTACTGTTATGCAACAGAGATACATTTTGTTTTTTGTTTTAGTTATAAAAATGAGATAAACTTGAATATGAATACTTTGTCTTTCTTGTTTAAGGAGCTAACTCTTGGATAAAATAACTATTAAATGAAAATTCTTTGGAGAATAATATAATTCAAACAAGACTTTTAGAAATGAAAGCATTGTTGAATTCATTAATTTACTCTAAAATTGTTTTTTTCAATGAATATTGGAGTGATTTTCAAATGTAAAAGTGCATTAATATCTAATGCTTGTGGCAGTTTTATTTTGTAGAAGTATGTCAAAATTGACAATTAATGATACTTTTTATTGAGGTTTTCACATAATACCTTGTTGTCTTGAGTGAATCATGAAACTTTCGGAAAGCTAAACAACAGGATATAAGAAATACGGGCTTATTTCTCACACGGATGTGAGAAATAATGAACAAAATTTACTGGAATTCACCAAACATATATCCAACCTGATCAATTAGGGACACTTCCACTGAAGAGACGTGAAGTGTACATCCAACTGAAGTAGAATGTACAAACTAGAGGATACCAAAACTGTCATTGTGTAGCTTTTCAGTTATTGCACAAGTGAAAGAGCATGACAAATATTTGTATAATGGTATAAATCCTTCTGATGTCTTGCATGAAAGATATGCGGGAAAATGTAACACCTGCTTTGACACTGATTCCCAGGTGTATGAGTTGCTCCTCTGGTTTTAGATCACGTTGGTCCCCATCACTCAGCATATCCACATTGATACTGATACTCTCTTATTTTAGAAATATATATATGGCAAATTACATCATGTTGGAAATTGTCAGAGTATATATTGTGAAGCCTGTATTGTTGTTTTCTTCAGTGTGTTTCTGTCATGTTCCTGTCCCAAGACACAAAGTATAAAATATCAAAGCCTACACTAATACAAGCAGGAAAATACAGGTTGATGCCCACACTGCATGAATGTATGGATATCTTTATTATATTTAGATATAATTTATTATTTATCCCTTTTTCTTTTCAGTGTCCTCTCTGAGACAACTGGCCTTGAAGGTAATTACACTCTCATTTGTATTTTGAAATATTAACTGTATGGTCTGTGAAATATACTTTATGTGCTGATTGTTGTGCTTCAAATCCCATTCAGGCCACAAGTGACAAGAAAGATTCTGTTTCGAATACAGCCACAGAAATAAAGGATGGAGACAAATCTGGGACAGGTAATTTTGCAATACACATGTAATGTCAGGTTAATGCAAGATGGAAGGGAACTTTCTTTCCCAAATATATCAGTATGGGGCTCATTGAAACTGCATATTCTGATTCAGGAAGCCTGAGATTCTGCATTTTTAATAAATTATTTGATGCCACTGATGCTGCTGGTCCCTGTCCGTGATTTGAGTAGTACGATTGTAAACTTCTTTACATCGAAATTAAATAGAAGGACCTCTGAAGAGCAATTCAAGACATAGGCAGCTCAGGGGACAGCATGATTTTACTTTAATTCTACAGCATGTTTTCTTCTGGAAGGAAAGGAAAAAGAGATGTAGTAAATAGCAATGATAGACATCAGGTTGTATTGCTGAAACCAGAGGAATGAAGTGGTTGTAATAACCCAGAAACACAGTAGAGTGAGAGAACTAATGAGACCACTGCTGTAATAATTATTTTCTCCAAGGAAGAGAGATTGTGAGGCAGCAAGGAGGGAAAAGGAAAGGTTATGTATGTAATTTAGGGTTTTCTGTTGAGGAAACGTGAGTGAACTCACTTTGGATTTATGTAGAATATTTGCATAAAAGAAGATTTTATTTTGGCTGTTCCAGAAACTACTGGAAACAGGAAATCGTGCTAGAATTGGGATAAACCACGGTGACTCATTACCCTTCTTTGTTGCTATTAGGCATCAGAGATAGATGTTTTGTTCATTTTAAGTATTGAAATAAGATAAACTTGAATATGAATACATTGGCTCCATTGGTCAAGGAGCTAACTCTTGAATAAAATAGCTATTTGATGAAATTTCTTTAGAGGATAACATGATATTTCAAAGAAGACCATTTCAGAAAGAAAAATTATGTTGAATTAATTAACTGATTCCAAAAACGGTTAATTTCAACAAATATTGGAGTGATATCTGAATGTAGAAGCTTAATAATGTCTAATCCTTGTAGCAGTTTTATTTAGTAGAAGTATGTCAAAACTGATAAAGGATGATACTGTTTATTGAGGCCTATGTGTCTTACCGTGTTGCATGAATGTGTGAAGAAACTTTCAGAAAGCTCAAGTAGAGGATTCCCTCAATGTAGGAAAGTCATTACACCACAAGGGTGTGAGAAATAATGGATATTATCTACAAGTATTCACCCAACTTATATCCAAGCTGATCTATTTAGGACCCTTCCCTGTAGAGACACGAAGTGTACATTCAATTGAGGGGTCATTGTAATTGTGTACCTTCTCAGTTATTGGGCAAGTTGAAGAGCATGATGAATATATGTAGTCCAATGGTATAAATTCTTCTGATGTGTTGCATGAAAGACATGTGGGAGTAGTGCCACCTGCTTTGACATTGATTCCCAGGTGTGTGAGTTGCTCCTCTGGTTTTAGATCACGTTGGTCCCCATCACTCAGCATATCCACATTGATACTGATACTCTCTTACTTTAGAAATATATATATATGACAAATTACATCATGTTGGAAATTGTCAGAGTATATATTGTGAAGCCTGTATTGTTGTTTTCTTCAGTGTGTTTCTGTCATGTTCCTGTCCCAAGACACAAAGTATAAAACATCAAAGCCTACACTAATACAAGCAGGAAAATACAGGTTGATGCCCACACTGCATGAACGTATGGATATCTCTATCATATTTACATATGATTTATTACGTATCCCTTTTTTTTTTCAGAGTCTTCTCAGAAACAACTGTCCTTGAAGGTAATTACACTCTCATTTGTATTTTGAACTATTAACTGTGTCGTCTATGAAATATACTTTATATGTTGATTATTTTGCCTCAAACCCCATTCAGGCTACAAGTGATGAGAAAGATTCTGTTTCGAATATAGCCCCAGAAATAAAGGATGGATCAACATCTGAGACAGGTAATTTTACAATACTTATTTAATGTCAGGTTAATGCAAGATAGAAGGGAATGTTCCTTCCCAAATAAATCAGCATGGGGGCTCATTGAAACTGCACATTCTGTATCAGGAAGCCTAAGTTTATGCATTGTAATAAGTTATTTTGTGCCACTGATGCTGGTTCTTTTCTGTGATCTGAGTAGTATCATTATAAATGTCTCTACATCGAAACTAAATAGAAGAACCTCTGAAGAGCAATTGAACAGATAGCAAGCTAAAAGGACAGCATTGTTTTGCTTTAATTCTACAGCATGTTTTCATCAAGAGGGGAAAGAGAAAGATTTGAAGCAATAGAAAGTATAGACATCAGACGATATTGCAAAAAGCAGAGGGAAGAAGTGATCGTAAGAACCCGTGAACACTGTAGAACAACAACTAAGGACACCACTGATGGAGTAATTACTTTCCTTAAGGAAGAGAGATTGTGAGGCAGGAGGGAGGGAAAAGAAGAAGTTATTTGTGTAATTTTGGGGATTCTGCTGAGGAACCCTGAGTGAACTGTGTTCAGATGCATATAGAATATTTGCATAAAAGAATATTTAATTGTGGCTGCTGCAGGAACTACTGGAAGCAGTAAGGAGAGCTGGAATACAGATAAACCACACTGACTCATTACTTCTCTTTGTTATTGTTAGGCAACAGAGATACATTTTTTATTTTAGTTATAAAATCAGATAAAATTGAATATGAATATATTGCTTTTGTTGTTCAAGTAGGTAACTCTTGCAAAACATAGGTACTAAATGAAAATTCTTTAGAGAATAATGTACTACTTCAAACAAGACTTTTAGAAATGAAAGTATTGTTGAGTTCATTAATTCACTCTAAAATGGTGTTTTTCAATGCATATTGGAGTGATTTTCGAATGTAAAAGCATATTAATATCTAATGTGGCAGTTTTGTTCTGTAGAAGTACGTGAAAATTGACTATTGATACATTTTGTTGAGTATTTATTTTTATATAATACCGTGTTGTCATGGGTGATGAAACTTTCAGAGAGCTAAACAACAGGATATGAGAAACACGGGCTAATTATTACACCAGATGGATGTGAGAAAGAATGAATGCTATTTACTGGGATTCACCAAATATATATCCAAGCTGATGAATTAGGGACACTTCCACTGAAGAGAGGAGAAGTGTCCATTTAATTGAAGTGTCATTGTAATTCTGTACCTTCTCAGTAATCGGGCAAGTGAAGAAGCATGACAAATATTTGTATAATGGTATAAATCCTTCTGATGTCTTGCATAAAAGATGTGCGGGAGGATGTACCACTGCTTTGACATTGATTCCCAGGTGTATGAGTTGCTCCTCTGGTTTTAGATCACGTTGGTCCCCATCACTCAGCATATCCACATTGATACTGATACTCTCTTACTTTAGAAATATATATATGACAAATTACATCATGTTGGAAATTGTCAGAGTATATATTGTGAAGCCTGTATTGTTGTTTTCTTCAGTGTGTTTCTGTCATGTTCCTGTCCCAAGACACAAAGTATAAAACATCAAAGCCTACACTAATACAAGCAGGAAAATACAGGTTGATGGTGACACTGCATGAATGTATGGATATCTTTATTATATTTAGATATAATTTATTATTTATCCCTTTTTCTTTTCAGTGTCCTCTCTGAGACAACTGTCCTTGAAGGTAATTACACTCTCATTTGTATTTTGAAATATTAACTGTGTAGTCTGTGAAATATACTTTATGTGCTGATTGTTGTGCTTCAAATCCCATTCAGGCCACAAGTGACAAGAAAGATTCTGTTTCGAATACAGCCACAGAAATAAAGGATGGAGACAAATCTGGGACAGGTAATTTTGCAATACACATGTAATGTCAGGTTAATGCAAGATGGAAGGGAACTTTCTTTCCCAAATATATCAGTATGGGGCTCATTGAAACTGCATATTCTGATTCAGGAAGCCTGAGATTCTGCATTTTTAATAAATTATTTGATGCCACTGATGCTGCTGGTCCCTGTCCGTGATTTGAGTAGTACGATTGTAAACTTCTTTACATCGAAATTAAATAGAAGGACCTCTGAAGAGCAATTCAAGACATAGGCAGCTCAGGGGACAGCATGATTTTACTTTAATTCTACAGCATGTTTTCTTCTGGAAGGAAAGGAAAAAGAGATGTAGTAAATAGCAATGATAGACATCAGGTTGTATTGCTGAAACCAGAGGAATGAAGTGGTTGTAATAACCCAGAAACACAGTAGAGTGAGAGAACTAATGAGACCACCACTGTAATAATTATTTTCTCCAAGGAAGAGAGATTGTGAGGCAGCAAGGAGGGAAAAGGAAAGGTTATGTATGTAATTTAGGGTTTTCTGTTGAGGAAACGTGAGTGAACTCACTTTGGATTTATGTAGAATATTTGCATAAAAGAAGATTTTATTTTGGCTGTTCCAGAAACTACTGAAAACAGGAAATCGTGCTAGAATTGGGATAAACCACGGTGACTCATTACCCTTCTTTGTTGCTATTAGGCATCAGAGATAGATGTTTTGTTCATTTTAAGTATTGAAATAAGATAAACTTGAATATGAATACATTGGCTCCATTGGTCAAGGAGCTAACTCTTGAATAAAATAGCTATTTGATGAAATTTCTTTAGAGGATAACATGATATTTCAAAGAAGACCATTTCAGAAAGAAAAATTATGTTGAATTAATTAACTGATTCCAAAAACGGTTAATTTCAACAAATATTGGAGTGATATCTGAATGTAGAAGCTTAATAATGTCTAATCCTTGTAGCAGTTTTATTTAGTAGAAGTATGTCAAAATTGATAAAGGATGATACTGTTTATTGAGACCTATGTGTCTTACCGTGTTGCATGAATGTGTGAAGAAACTTTCAGAAAGCTCAAGTAGAGGATTCCCTCAATGTAGGAAAGTCATTACACCACAAGGGTGTGAGAAATAATGGATATTATCTACAAGTATTCACCCAACTTATATCCAAGCTGATCTATTTAGGACCCTTCCCTGTAGACATGAAGTATACATTCAACTGAAGTGTCATTGTAATTGTGTACCTTCTCAGTTATTGGTCAAGTTAAAGAGCATGAGGAATATTTGTAGTCTAGTGCTATAAATTCTTTTGACGTGTTGCATGAAAGACATGTGAGAGTAGTGCCACCTGCTTTGACATTGATTCCCAGGTGTCTGAGTTGCTTCTCTGGTTTTAGATCACATTGGTCCTCATTCCTCAGCATATTGACATTGATACTGATAGTCTCTTATTTTTGAAATATTTATATGAAAAATTACATCACATTTGAAATTGTCAGAGTATATATTGTGAAGCCTGTATTGTTGCTTTCTTCAGTGTGTTTCTGTCATGTTCCTGTTTCAAGACACAAAGCATAAAACCTCAAAGCCTACACGAATACGGGCAGGAAAATACAGGTTGATGCTAATACGGAATGAATGTATCTATACCTTTACCACATTTACATATGGTTTATTATGTATCCCTTTTTCTTTTCAGTGTCTTCTCAGAAACAACTGACCTTGGAGGTAATTACACCCTCATTTGCATTTTGAACTATTAACTGTGTAGTCTATGATATATCCTTTATGTGTTGATTATTTTTCTTCAAATCCCCTTCAGGCTATAAGTGAAGAGAAAGATTCCGTTTCCAATATAGCCCCAGAAATAAAGGATGGATCAACATCTGAGACAGGTAATTTTATAATAAACATTTTATGTCAGGTTAATGCAAGGTAGAAGGGAAGTTCCCTTCCCAAATAAATTAGCAGCGGGCTCATTGAAACTGCACATTCTGTTTCAGGAAGCCTAAGTTTCTGCATTGTAATAAGTTATTTGGTGCCATTGATGCTGCTCGTCATTTTCCGTGATCTGAGTAGTATCATTGTAAACCTCTCTACGTCAAAACTAAATAGAAGAACCTCTGAAGAGCAATGCAACAGATAGCAAGCTAAAAGGACAGCATTATTTTGCTTTAATTCTACAGTATGTTTTCATCAAGAGGGGAAAGAGAAAGATTTGAGGCAATAGAAAGTATAGACATCAGACGATATCACAAAAAGCAGAGGGAAGAAGTGGTCGTAACAACCCGTGAACACTGTAGAACAACAACTAAGGACACCACTGATGGAGTAATTACTTTCCTTCAGGAAGAGAGATTGTGAGGCAGGAGGGAGGGAAAAGAAGAAGTTATTTGTGTAATTTTGGGGATTCTGCTGAGGAAACTTGAGTGAACTCTCTTTAGTTGCATATAGAATATTTGCATAAAAGAAGATTTTATTGTGGCTGCTCCAGAAACTACTGGAAACAGGAAAGAGTGCTAGAATTGGGACAAACCACAGTGACTCATTACCATTCTTTGTTGCTATTAGGCGTCAGAGATAGATGTTTTGTTCATTTTAAGTACTGAAATAAGATAAACTTGAATATGAATACATTGGCTCCATTGGTTTGATGAAATTTCTTTATAGGATAACATATTTCAAAGAAGACTATTTTAGAAAGAAAAGTTATGTTGAATTCATTAAGTGACTCAAAAAATATTTATTTTGAATGAATATTGGAGTGATATCTGAATGTAGAAGCTTATTAATATCTAGTGCTTGTAGCAGTTTTATTTAGTAGAAGTATGTCAAACTGATAAGGATGATACTGTTTATTGGGGCGTATGTGTCTTACCGTGTTGCATGAGTGTGTGAAGAAATTTTCCGAAGGCTCAAGTAGAGGATTCCCTCAATGTAGGAAAGTCATTACACCACAAGGATGTGAGAAATAATATATATTATCTACAAGAATTCAGCAAACTTATATCCAAGCTGATCTAGTTAGGACCCTTCCCTGCAGAGACATGAGGTATACATTCAACTGAAGTGTCATTGTAATTGTATACCTTCTCAGTTACTGGTCAGGTTGAAGATCATGATGAATATTTGTAGTCCAATGGTATAAATTCTTCTGATGTGTTTCATGAAAGACATGTGGGAGTAGTGCCACCTGCTTTGACATTGATTCCCAGGTGTATGAGTTGCTCCTCTGATTTTAGATCACACTGGTTCTCATCACCTGGCGTATCCACATTGCTATTGACACTGAGTATTTTTAGAAATAGATATATCACAGGTGTGGGCCACCACACCTGACTACTTTTTGTATTTTTAGTAGGGACGAGGTTTCACCATGTTGGCCAGGCTTGTCTTTATTTACTGACCTCAAATGATCCACCCGCCTCGGCCTCCCAAAGTGCTGGGATTAGAGGCGCGAGCCACCACAAGCAGCCTGCATGATTATTGTTATAAAGATAGAATCTTGCTGTGCTGCCCAGGCTGGTCTCAAACTCCTGGGCTCCTCAAGTGATATTTCTGTCTCAGCCTTCTGAGTAAGTGAGATTATAGGAACAAGTTCTTGTGCTCTTTTATGTTTTCAGTATTCTATAGTTTTCTATTGTTTATTTAAAATACATTTTACTTTTTTTTAAAGTGCATCCTGCCGTTGACAAGCATTTAAACAGGTACGATTTTACAGATTTTTTTAAAGTGATGTGTTAACTAAGTGGATAGAGAGAAGAGACTAGTATCTGTTTAGTGTTCTAAGCTATGTTAGACATCATATTACCTGATTCACATTTATCATCTCATGTCATCTTCACACAGCTTTACAAAGTATTGGTGCTATTATTGCTTTCTTACTGATGATGCAACTCTGGTTAAAATAGGTTGAAATTTTGGCTCATGATTCCGTAGTTAACAGGTAGCCAACCCATGATTTGGCAAGCATCCTGCCTGGCTTTTCAAATCACTTTGCACCTAAGCATACTTAGAGAGAGATGTGTGCAGCAATGGGATCAAGGTACTGGCTTAAATTAGATGAATTCACAACGTCACGTTTTGTTATATATTAGTTCTCTTTAGAGTGTCCCTTAGAAGCTTGGCTACTCCAAAAGCTTGTCCTAATATGTTTGGAAATTACACTGGTAACCAGTCCCTGTTTGTTTTTTTTTTGTTGTTGTTTAACAATCAATGTTTTGAAGGCAGATATCAATTATCTGTAGCCAAGGGACTCTAGGTGTTTCATAAGCAAGAGCAGATCAGTCCAAGAGAGAAATCATTTTACTGTACATGGAGAATATCAACACATACTCTATGTTATATTGACTATATTTGGCATATACGGAAAAGATATTTCTAATTCATTTCTCCACTTACTGACTACCCAGTTTGGTTTTCTCTTTGAGTACCCTGCCTAGTTCGATGAAGCTTTTTCTTGTTTTCTGGATTTACTTTTTTCTTTCTATGACATTTAAATAATATTTTCTTGATTTCTTGTTACTTTCTCTTCTGCATTGCTTAGGTTTTTTTTTTTTTTTAACTTTCTATTATTGTTTTCATGTATGGTAGCTAAATATTCCCCATTTTCCTATAGACAAAATCAGAAGTGCACAGAATTTCAGAATTTTAAGAAATCCTGGAGACTAAACAAAATATCCTCCATTAGTCAAATCTGTGTTTACCATCCCGATTAAATGGTTGTTTGGGTGGAGAATCTGAAACTGAAAGAGATAAAATTATTCAGTTGGATATTGTAAATGGCAGATATGAGATTTGCACTAGGTTTCTTGATTCAAAACCCAGTCTTCTTTCACATCATTTTGTCATTGAGTGTTTTTATAACAGAAAGAGGGAGTGGCTCTAGTGAACACAGTGGAAGAGGATGAGAATGGAATGAGCTGTTGAACTCAATGAAAGTGGATAAGAATGGAATTTGCAGGGCACAGCTAAGTTTGAAGAGAAATAAACCCTTGAGAAATTGGAAACACCGAATGTTGGGAGTAATGAAGAAAGGCATATTAAAATAGGGCATTCAAGGGGTTCTGAAAAGGCTGCTGCCTTTTTGTTCCTTTTTGAGGAACTACCAAACTTTAAAGATTTTATTGAAAAATGTTAAAAGAACTTGAGCCACTGGAAAGAGTCTCTGGAGTATATAGGAATGTGGTATTATCTTTTTCCACCCAAGCTTACAGAGGCCTTAGAACACCTCACGAATTAGGGAGCTGGAGATTGCTTAAGTACATAGATCTGTGACCCAGGGCGGATGTAATTTTCTTTCTGCCTTTTTTTTCCAATTCTCCCATATACCTGTAGGTTAGGGCAATGGTAGGTTTGGTTGGTAAGTCGGTAATGAAGCTTCATTTGGGTACTTGGTAACATTCCTATGCTTGGGATTACTGACTGAGATTTACTTACTTTCCGGCAGCAGAGGAACAGAGAGCTCCTAATCTCAATTACTTTAGCTTGTCTTTTTAGGCATCTGTCCTTCCTAGGCTGAAGGTGTAGATTGGATACTGCCATGGGTCCCTGCAGGAGAGGGATCCAGAAGTGGGAGTCTATGGGAAGGAAGATAATTAGATAGTAACGAATGAAATGGAGCTGTAACTATTCAGTAGGGAGACTTTTCCCCAGTCTGACTTGGGTGTCTGAGTGTCTATGAAGATTGTTAATCTTGCTGGTTTTTGTGGACCTGAATTAGGGAGGATCTATATAAAAACAGCAATTGAATTTTATAATTTTTAGTGTTTTAATCTTCTCTGAAGAATATTCGTGATAACAATGTAAACCTTTATATTTTGATTTTTGTGCCCTCAGCTTTCAAACATGTCCAGTGTTTCAGGGGGCTCCGTGTAGTTTTCTGGGGTAAACAGAATCAATGGGCACTGTTTACATGCTGAAGATCCATGACTCCCATTTTCCAGTGACACAGATTAATCTTTGAATCAGAAATAGATAATGGAGAAGAGACAGTGCATTTTCTACCTCGTTTTAGGTTATCACATTTATTCCAGTTCAGTAGCAAAAGTTCTGTCAGATATTAGATAATTTATAAGGACAAATTATTGTCTGGTGGTGCCATTGTATTGCCTGTCAGTATTTGTTACGGGTTTAAGGGTGAGTGTTCATTGGATATTTAATAGGCGGGAGAGGTGGAGGCAGAAATAGGTAACTAAAATGTTTTCTAAAACAGAGGCCATATCTAAATTATATCAAGAAATATTATTTAATGTACAGCTAACTGACCTTCCTCAGACTTTGTTTTACCATCTTTTTGGGAGGGGACATGGATGTATAGACTGACAGTTTTGTTTTGTTTTAAGAAATGAACCTGCTCATTTCTGTTGTAACTTTTTCCTCTGTAGGCATTTCTGGGCACAGCGTGTTTTTCCCAAGTCTGGGCTAAAGGACGATTCTGATTCTGATTCTGATTCTGTGGTAAAGTACTCACTTGTAAAATTAAATTCTCACTCTGAATCTCATTTTGTATATTACTATCTTCTAGATGTAGCAGTTGTCTACCTATCAGTGTTTTACGGTTGCATTAAAAATTTTATTAGAGATAACCATTTCAAAGACATAGGAGGGGTTAATTTTTATTTTGTTTACTTGGCAAATAAGAAATAGTTGATAAGTACTTTGAGAGGTGGGATCTGAAAAAAATGGGCTGGAAAATATATGCTGACAGGAAAATGATGTTGGAGAATGCTTTCTTGCAATAGAGGAAATAGGAATGTTGGTCTAGACTTATTTGAGTAAGTGTCTTTATTTTGAGTTATAAATAATATGAGTATGAGTAATAATACTTCTGTTTAAATGTGTGTTTAATAGATTAAATGACATTACAGGAATCATGGAATCACCCTGCTACACATAGCGTATAGTTTCTTTTAATGTCTTTTACATTTACTTTGATATATACCATTTTTGCAGTGGACAGTTTCTTTATTTTTACCTTTGGTTCTATAATTAGACTAAAAGAATACCAGAGATTCTGGAAATTTGACTAGACAGGGTAACATATGCCTGTAGTCCCAGCTCTTCAAGAGATGAAGCTAGGAGAATTGCTTGAGTCCATGCAAGACCTTATCTCTAATTAAAAATAAAAAATTGTGGGAGATTAGAAATTTAAGTTCCCTTCTGAAATCTGTATTACAAAGGGTCTACACTGTGTTTTCTAAATATTTTTATAATTAAGAATGCGCTTTAAACGCTTCATCTATTGGAAGAATATACATTTTGTTAAAAAAAAAAAAAAAAAACCTGTTTGATAAGCAGAGACTCTTCATATTCTTATGGTAAGACTTTAATTCCGCAAGGGTTTTGCATTATAATTTAAAAAAATATCCACTCGGGGTCCTTGTATCTCATTCTGAACTTCAAATTTTGGAGTCTTTTGCACTTTGTTCTTGAAAAAGTAGTTGTAAAGCTCCTGCATTACTATGAGCCACTTGAAATAGAGAACATATTTGTATGTATCCTGGAATACGTAGAATAATATCTTGCATATCAAAAACAGTGTAACAGTTTTAGTGTGAATAAACAAACCAGAAAATGGGCTTTTATATAATGGAATGTTATAGTTAACACATATGCATAATATAGCTAATAATGAAATCTGTTAAATTTCTAGAATGTTTTCAGTTTATCTTTTCTTCTAAGGTTGACAATGTGTAAATTTACGTGACTTCTGTTTAGAAAATACATCATATGGAAGAAAATAAAAATTAGAAAAGATGGATTGAAATTGGAAAGGTGGATACAACATGTTTTCTAATACCTTCCAACTGGAAGTGTAGGTTAGGATTTTGGATAAAATTTTCTTAACTGTTAAAGCTCCAGTCATATTCTATTAAATATATATATTTCAAGGCATACATTATTCTTTGAAATTGTGAATAAAAATTATTAGTCCAGGAGGAAGATCCAAGATGCTCATTTAGGAGCAGCTCGGGATTGCAGCTCCCAGCGAAAGCGCAGAGGGTGAGTGGACACCGCATTTCCAGATGGATCTTTATTGCCCAGAGATCAGGAGATTCCCAGGCAGAGGAGCCCCATGAGTCACCAGTGCGGCTGTTTTGGCCAGTGCGGCTATTTTGCTGGTGCTCCAGCGTGGCAGTTCTCCATACAAAATACACTGGTGTGGTTGTCCTTTTAAGCTGGTGATTGGAACTCCAGGAAGTTAGAGTCGCCCATACACCTCATTAAACAGGGGTCTGAAACAGGGAGCCAGGCCAGGGGATTACCAGGTGAAAAAGTGCCACGAATCTCAGCGCCGTTGTTTCAGACAGTGCAGTGGGTCACCGCATGGGAAATCACACAGATCCCGGTGTTTTTTCAGCAGGCGACTGGAACACCTGGGAGTCAACTGTTCAACTGAAAAAAAAAAAAGACTCTGAGGCAGGGAGCCAGGTGATCAGGCTCGGCGGGTCCCCCCCGCCCGCCCCCGCCACAAAACCCAGCAATTGGAAACCCTCTGGGTTGAGAGTTTCAAGGCAAGCACAGCTGAACCTGGGACAGTCCAGCTCTGTGGGGAAGGGGCATCTGCCATTACTGAGGCACTCCAAACCTACAGAGGTAGTCTGCCATTGCTGAGGCAGCCCACCATTGCTGAGGCAACCCGCCATTACAGAGAGAGTCTGCCATTACAGAGGTGGGCCAGCATTGCCGAGGCAGATCTACAAACACCCACATAAACAGGACTGCAGGGAAGTTCACATGGCAGCCGGGCAGAGCCCACAGCAGCTCAGCAAAGCCTCTGCAGGCAGACAGTGACTAGGCTGCCTCGTTGCTGGGCAGGGTAGCCCTGATAAAAAAGCAAGCAGCACAACAGAAACTCATAAATCAAGCCCTAACTCCCTGGGACAGAGCACCTGGGGAAAAAAAGGGGGATTTATGAGTTCTGCTGCAGCAGATTTAAACGTACCTGCCCAGCATCTCTGAGTGAACAATGGAGCTCACAGCTCAGCACTTGAGCTTCTATAAAGGAAAGACTGTCTCCTCAGGCAGCTCCCTGACCCCCATATATCCAAAGAGTCACCTCACAAAAAACTGATCAGCCTGACATTTGGCAGGCATCATTCTGGGACAAAGATAGAAGAAGAAGAAACTGGTAGCAACCCTTACTGTTCTGCAGCTGCTGCAGGTGATCCCCAGGCAAGCAGGGCCTGCGGTGGACCTCAGCAGTCCTACAGCAGAGGGGCCAGACTGTTAGAAGGAAAACTAAGAAACAGAAATAACTTCGTCATGAACAAACTGGATGTCCACTCAGAGACGCAATCTGAAAATCAGCAACTACAAAGAAGACAGGTGGATAGATCCACAAAGATGGGAAGAAACCAGTGCAAAAAGGAGGAAAACACCCAAAACCAGAACACCTCTCCTCCTGCAAGGAGTCACAACTCCTCACCAGCAAGGGAACAAGGCTGGACGGAGAATGCGTGTGATGAAATGACAGAATCAGACATCAGAAGGTGGGTAATGAGAAACTTCTGTGAGCTAAAATAACATGTTCTAACCCATGCAAAGAAACTAAGAACCTTGAAATAAGATTTGACATAATGCTAACGAGAATGGACAATGTAGAGAGGCATATAAGTGAATTGATGGAGCTGAGAAACACAACACGAGAACTTCGTGAAGCATACACAAGTTTCAACAGCTGAATTGACCAAGCAGAAGAAAGGATATCTGAGGTCGAAGATCAACTCAGTGAAACAGAATGAGAAGGCAAGATTAGAGAACAAAAGCATAAAAAGGAATGAACAAAGACCCCAAGAAATATGGGACTATGTGAAAAGACCTAATCTACGTTTCATAGGTGTACCTGAATGTGACGAAGAGAATGAATCCAAGCTGGAAAGTACTCTTCAGGATATTACCCAGGAAAACGTCTCCAACCTAGCAAGGCAGACCAATATTCCAGTGCAGGAAATACAGAGAACACCACAAGGATATTCCTCAAAACGAGCAACCCCAAGGCACGTAATCGTCAGATTCACCAGGGTTGAAATGAAGGAGAAAATGCTAAGGGCAGCCAGAGAGAAAGTTCAGGTTACCCACAAAGGGAAGCCTATCAGACTCACAGCAGATCTCTCAGCAGAAACCCCACAAGCCAGAGGAGAGTGGGGGCCGATATTCAACATCCTTAAAGAAAAGAACTTTCAACCCAGAATTTCATATCCAGCCAAACTAAGCTTCATAAATGAAGGAAAAATAAAATCCTTTGCGAACAAGCAAGTACTCAGAGATTTTGTCACCACCACGCCTGCTTTACAAGAGCTCCTGAAAGAGGCACTACACATAGAAAGGGACAACCAGTACCAGCCACTCCAAAAACATACCAAATGGTAAAGAGCATCAACAAAATGAAGAATCTGCATCAACTAAAGGGCAGAATAGCCAGCTAGCATCAAAATGGCAGTATCAAATTCACACATAACAATATTAACCCTAAATGTAAATGGACTAAACGCCCCAATCAAAAGACACAGACTGGCAAATCGGATAAAAAGCCAAAACCCGTGGGTGTGCTGTATCCAGAAAATCCATCTCACACGATTTACCTCAGTCTTAACTTTTTCCTTGCAGAACACATGTCTTTAGTGTCTGTTTTTTTATTTCACCTCTGTTTCTATTATGAGCATACTTATTGCAGCTTTCTCTTTAGCAGCTATGTGTGGCTTTCATTCATCAATCATTACTCTATAAGGTGGATGGTTGTTTTGTTCTCTATTTTTTGGAAGGAGACGAAGTTATATAATAATTTGTTCTTAGCTTTCAACACAGAGAATACAAGCAACTTGTACTGTTTCCAATGCCAACCCATTTAAATATAGTACTACTAAAAGCCACAGGCTCACATTTTATTCCCACAAAATGTAATTCACACAGATAGATATAATGCATAGATATTTTGAAAAATAATGTGGTTAATTTACTTTTGTATTATTATTCTTATTCAGTGATACCCTAAATTACATACGAGTAAATTTTTGTCCTAGGTTGTTGTGGATAGGAAAAGAAACTAATAGTATCATAGTATTTATATAATAAAAAACTAGAGCTGAAAGGAGTCACATTTTGAGACTATCTATAACACCAGTCATAATCATCAGGGCATTAGAATATGTAGATAAGTAAATGGCAGTCTCAAAATTTGAATCTACCTATGTGTAACTTCAAAAGCTGTACATTTTGTGTTATATTAGGTAGTAATGGCAGCTATTATAATTATTTTAACTTGCTGTATGTTATTCTTAAACTGATTGTGTTTTTCTTCTAGATTGTTTCAAGACCACATGAAATAAAGAGGATTCCTCATGAAGATTCTTTAAAAAATTGTAAGCTGTTTAAGCCTTTCTATTATATTATTTACTGATTCTTCTTTTTTCTTTTCTTTCTTTGTTTCTGTTTCTTTTTAATTTTAAGACACAGTCTCACACTTTCTGCTGCCCAGGCTAGAGTGCAATGGCACAGACATGGCTCATTGCAACATCCATCTCTTGGAATCAAGTGATTCTCCTGCCCCCACCTCCCTAGTAGCTGGCACTACAGGTGTGTGCCACCACACCAGCTAATTTTTGTATTTTTAGAAGCGATGGGGTTTCACCATGTTGGCCATGATGGTCTCAATCACCTGACTTCCAGGGATTCTGCCTCCCAAAGTGCTGGGATTACAAGCTTTAGCCACCATGTCCGGTGTGCATGATTATTTCTATAAAGATAGAATCTTGCTATGTTGGCCTGGCTGGTCTCAAACTCCTGGGTTGCTCAAGTGATACTTCTGTCTCAGCCTTCTGAGTAGCTGAGATTATATTAACAAGCCACTGTGCCCTTTTATGTTTTTAATATTCTGTCCTGTGTTTGTCTATACTAGCCTTTGTTACTCTTGGGCATCGGAGACATATGTTTTGTTGACGTTAGTTATTTGAATGAGATAAACATGAATATACGTACATTCACTTTGTTTTTTGAGGAGCTAACTTTTGGATCAAATAGCAGTTTAATAAAAGTTCTTTAGTGAAAAACATGATACTTCAAACCAGACTATATTGGAAAGAAAATAATGTTGAAATCATTAATTGACTCCCAAATAGTTTATTTTCAATGAATATTGGAGTGATATCTGAATGTAGAAGCTTATTAATATCTAGTGCTTGTAGCAGTTTTATTTAGTAGAAGTATGTCAAAACTGATAAAGGCTGATACTGTTTATTGAGGCCTATGAGTCTTACCGTGTTGCATGAGTGTGTGAAGAAACTTTCAGCAAGCTCAAGTAGAGGATTCCCTCAATGTAGGAAAGTCATTACACCACAAGGGTTTGAGAAATAATGGATATTATCTACAAGTATTCACCCAACTTATATCCAAGCTGATCTATTTAGGACCCTTCCCTGTAGACATGAAGTATACATTCAACTGAAGTGTCATTGTAATTGTGTACCTTCTCAGTTATTGGGCAAGTTAAAGAGCATGAGGAATATTTGTAGTCTAGTGCTATAAATTCTTTTGACGTGTTGCATGAAAGATATGTGAGAGTAGTGCCACCTGCTTTGACATTGATTCCCAGGTGTCTGAGTTGCTTCTCTGGTTTTAGATCACATTGGTCCTCATTCCTCAGCATATTGACATTGATACTGATACTCTCTTATTTTTGAAATATTTATATGAAAAATTACATCGCATTTGAAATTGTCAGAGTATATATTGTGAAGCCTGTATTGTTGCTTTCTTCAGTGTGTTTCTGTCATGTTCTTGTTTCAAGACACAAAGCATAAAACCTCAAAGCCTACATGAATACGGGCAGGAAAATACAGGTTGATGCTAATACGGAATGAATGTATCTATATCTTTACCACATTTACATATGGTTTATTATGTATCCCTTTTTCTTTTCAGTGTCTTCTCAGAAACAACTGACCTTGGAGGTAATTACACCCTCATTTGTATTTTGAACTATTAACTGTGTAGTCTATGATATATCCTTTATGTGTTGATTATTTTTCTTCAAATCCCCTTCAGGCTATAAGTGATGAGAAAGATTTCGTTTCCAATATAGCCCCAGAAATAAAGGATGGATCAACATCTGAGACAGGTAATTTTATAATAAACATTTTATGTCAGGTTAATGCAAGGTAGAAGGGAAGTTCCCTTCCCAAATAAATTAGCAGCGGGCTCATTGAAACTGCACATTCTGTTTCAGGAAGCCTAAGTTTCTGCATTGTAATAAGTTATTTGGTGCCATTGATGCTGCTCGTCATTTTCCGTGATCTGAGTAGTATCATTGTAAACCTCTCTACGTCAAAACTAAATAGAAGAACCTCTGAAGAGCAATGCAACAGATAGCAAGCTAAAAGGACAGCATTATTTTGCTTTAATTCTACAGTATGTTTTCATGAAGAGGGGAAAGAGAAAGATTTGAAGCAATAGAAAGTATAGACATCAGACGATATCACAAAAAGCAGAAGGAAGAAGTGATCGTAACAACCCGTGAACACTGTAGAACAACAACTAAGGACACCACTGATGGAGTAATTACTTTCCTTCAGGAAGAGAGATTGTGAGGCAGGAGGGAGGGAAAAGAAGAAGTGATTTGTGTAATTTTGGGGATTCTGCTGAGGAAACCTGAGAGAACTCTCTTTAGTTGCATATAGAATATTTGCATAAAAGAAGATTTTATTGTGGCTGCTCCAGAAACTACTGGAAACAGGAAAGAGTGCTAGAATTGGGACAAACCACAGTGACTCATTACCATTCTTTGTTGCTATTAGGCGTCAGAGATAGATGTTTTGTTCATTTTAAGTACTGAAATAAGATAAACTTGAATATGAATACATTGGCTCCATTGGTTTGATGAAATTTCTTTATAGGATAACATATTTCAAAGAAGACTATTTTAGAAAGAAAAGTTATGTTGAATTCATTAAGTGACTCAAAAAATATTTATTTTGAATGAATATTGGAGTGATATCTGAATGTAGAAGCTTATTAATATCTAGTGCTTGTAGCAGTTTTATTTAGTAGAAGTATGTCAAAACTGATAAAGGATGATACTGTTTATTGGGGCGTATGTGTCTTCCCGTGTTGCATGAGTGTGTGAAGAAATTTTCCGAAGGCTCAAGTAGAGGATTCCCTCAATGTAGGAAAGTCATTACACCACAAGGATGTGAGAAATAATATATATTATCTACAAGAATTCAGCAAACTTATATCCAAGCTGATCTAGTTAGGACCCTTCCCTGCAGAGACATGAGGTATACATTCAACTGAAGTGTCATTGTAATTGTATACCTTCTCAGTTACTGGTCAGGTTGAAGATCATGATGAATATTTGTAGTCCAATGGTATAAATTCTTCTGATGTGTTTCATGAAAGACATGTGGGAGTAGTGCCACCTGCTTTGACATTGATTCCCAGGTGTATGAGTTGCTCCTCTGATTTTAGATCACACTGGTTCTCATCACCTGGCGTATCCACATTGCTATTGACACTGAGTATTTTTAGAAATAGATATATCACAGGTGTGGGCCACCACACCTGACTACTTTTTGTATTTTTAGTAGGGACGAGGTTTCACCATGTTGGCCAGGCTTGTCTTTATTTACTGACCTCAAATGATCCACCCGCCTCGGCCTCCCAAAGTGCTGGGATTAGAGGCGCGAGCCACCACAAGCAGCCTGCATGATTATTGTTATAAAGATAGAATCTTGCTGTGCTGCCCAGGCTGGTCTCAAACTCCTGGGCTCCTCAAGTGATATTTCTGTCTCAGCCTTCTGAGTAAGTGAGATTATAGGAACAAGTTCTTGTGCTCTTTTATGTTTTCAGTATTCTATAGTTTTCTATTGTTTATTTAAAATACATTTTACTTTTTTTTAAAGTGCATCCTGCCGTTGACAAGCATTTAAACAGGTACGATTTTACAGATTTTTTTAAAGTGATGTGTTAACTAAGTGGATAGAGAGAATAGAGACTAGTATCTGTTTAGTGTTCTAAGCTATGTTAGACATCATATTACCTGATTCACATTTATCATCTCATGTCATCTTCACACAGCTTTACAAAGTATTGGTGCTATTATTGCTTTCTTACTGATGATGCAACTCTGGTTAAAATAGGTTGAAATTTTGGCTCATGATTCCGTAGTTAACAGGTAGCCAACCCATGATTTGACAAGCATCCTGCCTGGCTTTTCAAATCACTTTGCACCTAAGCATACTTAGAGAGAGGTGTGTGCAGCAATGGGATCAAGGTACTGCCTTAAATTAGATGAATTCAGAACGTCACGTTTTGTTATATATTAGTTCTCTTTAGAGTGTCCCTTAGAAGCTTGGCTACTCCAAAAGCTTGTCCTAATATGTTTGGAAATTACACTGGTAACCAGTCCCTGTTTGTTTTTTTTTGTTGTTGTTGTTTAACAATCAATGTTTTGAAGGCAGATATCAATTATCTGTAGCCAAGGGACTCTAGGGGTTTCATAAGCAAGAGCAGATCAGTCCAAGAGAGAAATCATTTTACTGTACATGGAGAATATCAACACATACTCTATGTTATATTGACTATATTTGGCATATACGGAAAAGATATTTCTAATTCATTTCTCCACTTACTGACTACCCAGTTTGGTTTTCTCTTTGAGTACCCTGCCTAGTTCGATGAAGCTTTTTCTTGTTTTCTGGATTTACTTTTTTCTTTCTATGACATTTAAATAATATTTTCTTGATTTCTTGTTACTTTCTCTTCTGCATTGCTTAGGTTTTTTTTTTTTTTTTACTTTCTATTATTGTTTTCATGTATGGTAGCTAAATATTCCCCATTTTCCTATAGACAAAATCAGAAGTGCACAGAATTTCAGAATTTTAAGAAATCCTGGAGACTAAACAAAATATCCTCCATTAGTCAAATCTGTGTTTACCATCCCGATTAAATGGTTGTTTGGGTGGAGAATCTGAAACTGAAAGAGATAAAATTATTCAGTTGGATATTGTAAATGGCAGATATGAGATTTGCACTAGGTTTCTTGATTCAAAACCCAGTCTTCTTTCACATCATTTTGTCATTGAGTGTTTTTATAACAGAAAGAGGGAGTGGCTCTAGTGAACACAGTGGAAGAGGATGAGAATGGAATGAGCTGTTGAACTCAATGAAAGTGGATAAGAATGGAATTTGCAGGGCACAGCTAAGTTTGAAGAGAAATAAACCCTTGAGAAATTGGAAACACCGAATGTTGGGAGTAATGAAGAAAGGCATATTAAAATAGGGCATTCAAGGGGTTCTGAAAAGGCTGCTGCCTTTTTGTTCCTTTTGAGGAACTACCAAACTTTAAAGATTTTATTGAAAAATGTTAAAAGAACTTGAGCCACTGGAAAGAGTCTCTGGAGTATATAGGAATGTGGTATTCTTCTTCCACCCAAGCTTACAGAGGCCTTAGAACACCTCACGAATTAGGGAGCTGGAGATTGCTTAAGTACATAGATCTGTGACCCAGGGCGGATGTAATTTTCTTTCTGCCTTTTTTTTCCAATTCTCCCATATACCTGTAGGTTAGGGCAATGGTAGGTTTGGTTGGTAAGTCGGTAATGAAGCTTCATTTGGGTACTTGGTAACATTCCTATGCTTGGGATTACTGACTGAGATTTACTTACTTTCCAGCAGCAGAGGAACAGAGAGCTCCTAATCTCAATTACTTTAGCTTGTCTTTTTAGGCATCTGTCCTTCCTAGGCTGAAGGTGTAGATTGGATACTGCCATGGGTCCCTGCAGGAGAGGGATCCAGAAGTGGGAGTCTATGGGAAGGAAGATAATTAGATAGTAACGAATGAAATGGAGCTGTAACTATTCAGTAGGGAGACTTTTCCCCAGTCTGACTTGGGTGTCTGAGTGTCTATGAAGATTGTTAATCTTGCTGGTTTTTGTGGACCTGAATTAGGGAGGATCTATATAATAACAGCAATTGAATTTTATAATTTTTAGTGTTTTAATCTTCTCTGAAGAATATTCGTGATAACAATGTAAACCTTTATATTTTGATTTTTGTGCCCTCAGCTTTCAAACATGTCCAGTGTTTCAGGGGGCTCCGTGTAGTTTTCTGGGGTAAACAGAATCAATGGGCACTGTTTACATGCTGAAGATCCATGACTCCCATTTTCCAGTGACACAGATTAATCTTTGAATCAGAAATAGATAATGGAGAAGAGACAGTGCATTTTCTACCTCGTTTTAGGTTATCACATTTATTCCAGTTCAGTAGCAAAAGTTCTGTCAGATATTAGATAATTTGTAAGGACAAATTATTGTCTGGTGGTGCCATTGTATTGCCTGTCAGTATTTGTTACGGGTTTAAGGGTGAGTGTTCATTGGATATTTAATAGGTGGGAGAGGTGGAGGCAGAAATAGGTAACTAAAATGTTTTCTAAAACAGAGGCCATATCTACATTATATCAAGAAATATTATTTAATGTACAGCTAACTGACCTTCCTCAGACTTTGTTTTACCATCTTTTTGGGAGGGGACATGGATGTATAGACTGACAGTTTTGTTTTGTTTTAAGAAATGAACCTGCTCATTTCTGTTGTAACTTTTTCCTCTGTAGGCATTTCTGGGCACAGCGTGTTTTTCCCAAGTCTGGGCTAAAGGACGATTCTGATTCTGATTCTGATTCTGTGGTAAAGTACTCACTTGTAAAATTAAATTCTCACTCTGAATCTCATTTTGTATATTACTATCTTCTAGATGTAGCAGTTGTCTACCTATCAGTGTTTTACGGTTGCATTAAAAATTTTATTAGAGATAACCATTTCAAAGACATAGGAGGGGTTAATTTTTATTTTGTTTACTTGGCAAATAAGAAATAGTTGATAAGTACTTTGAGAGGTGGGATCTGAAAAAAATGGGCTGGAAAATATATGCTGACAGGAAAATGATGTTGGAGAATGCTTTCTTGCAATAGAGGAAATAGGAATGTTGGTCTAGACTTATTTGAGTAAGTGTCTTTATTTTGAGTTATAAATAATATGAGTATGAGTAATAATACTTCTGTTTAAATGTGTGTTTAATAGATTAAATGACATTACAGGAATCATGGAATCACCCTGCTACACATAGCGTATAGTTTCTTTTAATTTCTTTTACATTTACTTTGATATATACCATTTTTGCAGTGGACAGTTTCTTTATTTTTACCTTCGGTTCTATAATTAGACTAAAAGAATACCAGAGATTCTGGAAATTTGACTAGACAGGGTAACATATGCCTGTAGTCCCAGCTCTTCAAGAGATGAAGCTAGGAGAATTGCTTGAGTCCATGCAAGACCTTATCTCCAATTAAAAATAAAAAATTGTGGGAGATTAGAAATTTAAGTTCCCTTCTGAAATCTGTATTACAAAGGGTCTACACTGTGTTTTCTAAATATTTTTATAATTAAGAATGCGCTTTAAACGCTTCATCTATTGGAAGAATATACATTTTGTTAAAAAAAAAACAACAACCTGTTTGATAAGCAGAGACTCTTCATATTCTTATGGTAAGACTTTAATTCCGCAAGGGTTTTGCATTATAATTTAAAAAAATATCCACTCGGGGTCCTTGTATCTCATTCTGAACTTCAAATTTTGGAGTCTTTTGCACTTTGTTCTTGAAAAAGTAGTTGTAAAGCTCCTGCATTACTATGAGCCACTTGAAATAGAGAACATATTTGTATGTATCCTGGAATACGTAGAATAATATCTTGCATATCAAAAACAGTGTAACAGTTTTAGCGTGAATAAACAAACCAGAAAATGGGCTTTTATATAATGGAATGTTATAGTTAACACATATGCATAATATAGCTAATAATGAAATCTGTTAAATTTCTAGAATGTTTTCAGTTTATCTTTTCTTCTAAGGTTGACAATGTGTAAATTTACGTGACTTCTGTTTAGAAAATACATCATATGGAAGAAAATAAAAATTAGAAAAGATGGATTGAAATTGGAAAGGTGGATACAACATGTTTTCTAATACCTTCCAACTGGAAGCGTAGGTTAGGATTTTGGATAAAATTTTCTTAACTGTTAAAGCTCCAGTCATATTCTATTAAATATATATATTTCAAGGCATACATTATTCTTTGAAATTGTGAATAAAAATTATTAGTCCAGGAGGAAGATCCAAGATGCTCATTTAGGAGCAGCTCGGGATTGCAGCTCCCAGCGAAAGCGCAGAGGGTGAGTGGACACCGCATTTCCAGATGGATCTTTATTGCCCAGAGATCAGGAGATTCCCAGGCAGAGGAGCCCCATGAGTCACCAGTGCGGCTGTTTTGGCCAGCGCGGCTATTTTGCTGGTGCTCCAGCGTGGCAGTTCTCCATACAAAATACACTGGTGTGGTTGTCCTTTTAAGCTGGTGATTGGAACTCCAGGAAGTTAGAGTCGCCCATACACCTCATTAAACAGGGGTCTGAAACAGGGAGCCAGGCCAGGGGATTACCAGGTGAAAAAGTGCCACGAATCTCAGCGCCGTTGTTTCAGACAGTGCAGTGGGTCACCGCATGGGAAATCACACAGATCCCGGTGTTTTTTCAGCAGGCGACTGGAACACCTGGGAGTCAACTGTTCAACTGAAAAAAAAAAAAAGACTCTGAGGCAGGGAGCCAGGTGATCAGGCTCGGCGGGTCCCCCCCGCCCGCCCCCGCCACAAAACCCAGCAATTGGAAACCCTCTGGGTTGAGAGTTTCAAGGCAAGCACAGCTGAACCTGGGACAGTCCAGCTCTGTGGGGAAGGGGCATCTGCCATTACTGAGGCACTCCAAACCTACAGAGGTAGTCTGCCATTGCTGAGGCAGCCCACCATTGCTGAGGCAACCCGCCATTACAGAGAGAGTCTGCCATTACAGAGGTGGGCCAGCATTGCCGAGGCAGATCTACAAACACCCACATAAACAGGACTGCAGGGAAGTTCACATGGCAGCCGGGCAGAGCCCACAGCAGCTCAGCAAAGCCTCTGCAGGCAGACAGTGACTAGGCTGCCTCGTTGCTGGGCAGGGTAGCCCTGATAAAAAAGCAAGCAGCACAACAGAAACTCATAAATCAAGCCCTAACTCCCTGGGACAGAGCACCTGGGGAAAAAAAGGGGGATTTATGAGTTCTGCTGCAGCAGATTTAAACGTACCTGCCCAGCATCTCTGAGTGAACAATGGAGCTCACAGCTCAGCACTTGAGCTTCTATAAAGGAAAGACTGTCTCCTCAGGCAGCTCCCTGACCCCCATATATCCAAAGAGTCACCTCACAAAAAACTGATCAGCCTGACATTTGGCAGGCATCATTCTGGGACAAAGATAGAAGAAGAAGAAACTGGTAGCAACCCTTACTGTTCTGCAGCTGCTGCAGGTGATCCCCAGGCAAGCAGGGCCTGCGGTGGACCTCAGCAGTCCTACAGCAGAGGGGCCAGACTGTTAGAAGGAAAACTAAGAAACAGAAATAACTTCGTCATGAACAAACTGGATGTCCACTCAGAGACGCAATCTGAAAATCAGCAACTACAAAGAAGACAGGTGGATAGATCCACAAAGATGGGAAGAAACCAGTGCAAAAAGGAGGAAAACACCCAAAACCAGAACACCTCTCCTCCTGCAAGGAGTCACAACTCCTCACCAGCAAGGGAACAAGGCTGGACGGAGAATGCGTGTGATGAAATGACAGAATCAGACATCAGAAGGTGGGTAATGAGAAACTTCTGTGAGCTAAAATAACATGTTCTAACCCATGCAAAGAAACTAAGAACCTTGAAATAAGATTTGACATAATGCTAACGAGAATGGACAATGTAGAGAGGCATATAAGTGAATTGATGGAGCTGAGAAACACAACACGAGAACTTCGTGAAGCATACACAAGTTTCAACAGCTGAATTGACCAAGCAGAAGAAAGGATATCTGAGGTCGAAGATCAACTCAGTGAAACAGAATGAGAAGGCAAGATTAGAGAACAAAAGCATAAAAAGGAATGAACAAAGACCCCAAGAAATATGGGACTATGTGAAAAGACCTAATCTACGTTTCATAGGTGTACCTGAATGTGACGAAGAGAATGAATCCAAGCTGGAAAGTACTCTTCAGGATATTACCCAGGAAAACGTCTCCAACCTAGCAAGGCAGACCAATATTCCAGTGCAGGAAATACAGAGAACACCACAAGGATATTCCTCAAAACGAGCAACCCCAAGGCACGTAATCGTCAGATTCACCAGGGTTGAAATGAAGGAGAAAATGCTAAGGGCAGCCAGAGAGAAAGTTCAGGTTACCCACAAAGGGAAGCCTATCAGACTCACAGCAGATCTCTCAGCAGAAACCCCACAAGCCAGAGGAGAGTGGGGGCCGATATTCAACATCCTTAAAGAAAAGAACTTTCAACCCAGAATTTCATATCCAGCCAAACTAAGCTTCATAAATGAAGGAAAAATAAAATCCTTTGCGAACAAGCAAGTACTCAGAGATTTTGTCACCACCACGCCTGCTTTACAAGAGCTCCTGAAAGAGGCACTACACATAGAAAGGGACAACCAGTACCAGCCACTCCAAAAACATACCAAATGGTAAAGAGCATCAACAAAATGAAGAATCTGCATCAACTAAAGGGCAGAATAGCCAGCTAGCATCAAAATGGCAGTATCAAATTCACACATAACAATATTAACCCTAAATGTAAATGGACTAAACGCCCCAATCAAAAGACACAGACTGGCAAATCGGATAAAAAGCCAAAACCCGTGGGTGTGCTGTATCCAGAAAATCCATCTCACACGATTTACCTCAGTCTTAACTTTTTCCTTGCAGAACACATGTCTTTAGTGTCTGTTTTTTTATTTCACCTCTGTTTCTATTATGAGCATACTTATTGCAGCTTTCTCTTTAGCAGCTATGTGTGGCTTTCATTCATCAATCATTACTCTATAAGGTGGATGGTTGTTTTGTTCTCTATTTTTTGGAAGGAGACGAAGTTATATAATAATTTGTTCTTAGCTTTCAACACAGAGAATACAAGCAACTTGTACTGTTTCCAATGCCAACCCATTTAAATATAGTACTACTAAAAGCCACAGGCTCACATTTTATTCCCACAAAATGTAATTCACACAGATAGATATAATGCATAGATATTTTGAAAAATAATGTGGTTAATTTACTTTTGTATTATTATTCTTATTCAGTGATACCCTAAATTACATACGAGTAAATTTTTGTCCTAGGTTGTTGTGGATAGGAAAAGAAACTAATAGTATCATAGTATTTATATAATAAAAAACTAGAACTGAAAGGAGTCACATTTTGAGACTATCTATAACACCAGTCATAATCATCAGGGCATTAGAATATGTAGATAAGTAAATGGCAGTCTCAAAATTTGAATCTACCTATGTGTAACTTCAAAAGCTGTACATTTTGTGTTATATTAGGTAGTAATGGCAGCTATTATAATTATTTTAACTTGCTGTATGTTATTCTTAAACTGATTGTGTTTTTCTTCTAGATTGTTTCAAGACCACATGAAATAAAGAGGATTCCTCATGAAGATTCTTTAAAAAATTGTAAGCTGTTTAAGCCTTTCTATTATATTATTTACTGATTCTTCTTTTTTCTTTTCTTTCTTTGTTTCTGTTTTTTTTTTTTTAATTTTAAGACACAGTCTCATACTTTCTGCTGCCCAGGCTAGAGTGCAATGGCACAGACATGGCTCATTGCAACATCCATCTCTTGGAATCAAGTGATTCTCCTGCCCCCACCTCCCTAGTAGCTGGCACTACAGGTGTGTGCCACCACACCAGCTAATTTTTGTATCATTAGAAGCGATGGGGTTTCACCATGTTGGCCATGATGGTCTCAATCACCTGACTTCCAGGGATTCTGCCTCCCAAAGTGCTGGGATTACAAGCTTTAGCCACCATGTCCGGTGTGCATGATTATTTCTATAAAGATAGAATCTTGCTATGTTGGCCTGGCTGGTCTCAAACTCCTGGGTTGCTCAAGTGATACTTCTGTCTCAGCCTTCTGAGTAGCTGAGATTATATTAACAAGCCACTGTGCCCTTTTATGTTTTTAATATTCTATCCTGTGTTTGTCTATACTAGCCTTTGTTACTCTTGGGCATCGGAGACATATGTTTTGTTGACGTTAGTTATTTGAATGAGATAAACATGAATATACGTACATTCACTTTGTTTTTTGAGGAGCTAACTTTTGGATCAAATAGCAGTTTAATAAAAGTTCTTTAGTGAAAAACATGATACTTCAAACCAGACTATATTGGAAAGAAAATAATGTTGAAATCATTAATTGACTCCCAAATAGTTTATTTTCAATGAATATTGGAGTGATATCTGAATGTAGAAGCTTATTAATATCTAGTGCTTGTAGCAGTTTTATTTAGTAGAAGTATGTCAAAACTGATAAAGGATGATACTGTTTATTGAGGCCTATGAGTCTTACCGTGTTGCATGAGTGTGTGAAGAAACTTTCAGCAAGCTCAAGTAGAGGATTCCCTCAATGTAGGAAAGTCATTACACCACAAGGGTTTGAGAAATAATGGATATTATCTACAAGTATTCACCCAACTTATATCCAAGCTGATCTATTTAGGACCCTTCCCTGTAGACATGAAGTATACATTCAACTGAAGTGTCATTGTAATTGTGTACCTTCTCAGTTATTGGGCAAGTTAAAGAGCATGAGGAATATTTGTAGTCTAGTGCTATAAATTCTTTTGACGTGTTGCATGAAAGATATGTGAGAGTAGTGCCACCTGCTTTGACATTGATTCCCAGGTGTCTGAGTTGCTTCTCTGGTTTTAGATCACATTGGTCCTCATTCCTCAGCATATTGACATTGATACTGATACTCTCATTTTTGAAATATTTATATGAAAAATTACATCGCATTTGAAATTGTCAGAGTATATATTGTGAAGCCTGTATTGTTGCTTTCTTCAGTGTGTTTCTGTCATGTTCCTGTTTCAAGACACAAAGCATAAAACCTCAAAGCCTACACGAATACGGGCAGGAAAATACAGGTTGATGCTAATACGGAATGAATGTATCTATATCTTTACCACATTTACATATGGTTTATTATGTATCCCTTTTTCTTTTCAGTGTCTTCTCAGAAACAACTGACCTTGGAGGTAATTACACCCTCATTTGTATTTTGAACTATTAACTGTGTAGTCTATGATATATCCTTTATGTGTTGATTATTTTTCTTCAAATCCCCTTCAGGCTATAAGTGATGAGAAAGATTTCGTTTCCAATATAGCCCCAGAAATAAAGGATGGATCAACATCTGAGACAGGTAATTTTATAATAAACATTTTATGTCAGGTTAATGCAAGGTAGAAGGGAAGTTCCCTTCCCAAATAAATTAGCAGCGGGCTCATTGAAACTGCACATTCTGTTTCAGGAAGCCTAAGTTTCTGCATTGTAATAAGTTATTTGGTGCCATTGATGCTGCTCGTCATTTTCCGTGATCTGAGTAGTATCATTGTAAACCTCTCTACGTCAAAACTAAATAGAAGAACCTCTGAAGAGCAATGCAACAGATAGCAAGCTAAAAGGACAGCATTATTTTGCTTTAATTCTACAGTATGTTTTCATCAAGAGGGGAAAGAGAAAGATTTGAAGCAATAGAAAGTATAGACATCAGACGATATCACAAAAAGCAGAGGGAAGAAGTGATCGTAACAACCCGTGAACACTGTAGAACAACAACTAAGGACACCACTGATGGAGTAATTACTTTCCTTCAGGAAGAGAGATTGTGAGGCAGGAGGGAGGGAAAAGAAGAAGTGATTTGTGTAATTTTGGGGATTCTGCTGAGGAAACCTGAGTGAACTCTCTTTAGTTGCATATAGAATATTTGCATAAAAGAAGATTTTATTGTGGCTGCTCCAGAAACTACTGGAAACAGGAAAGAGTGCTAGAATTGGGACAAACCACAGTGACTCATTACCATTCTTTGTTGCTATTAGGCGTCAGAGATAGATGTTTTGTTCATTTTAAGTACTGAAATAAGGTAAACTTGAATATGAATACATTGGCTCCATTGGTTTGATGAAATTTCTTTATAGGATAACATATTTCAAAGAAGACTATTTTAGAAAGAAAAGTTATGTTGAATTCATTAAGTGACTCAAAAAATATTTATTTTGAATGAATATTGGAGTGATATCTGAATGTAGAAGCTTATTAATATCTAGTGCTTGTAGCAGTTTTATTTAGTAGAAGTATGTCAAAACTGATAAAGGATGATACTGTTCATTGGGGCGTATGTGTCTTCCCGTGTTGCATGAGTGTGTGAAGAAATTTTCCGAAGGCTCAAGTAGAGGATTCCCTCAATGTAGGAAAGTCATTACACCACAAGGATGTGAGAAATAATATATATTATCTACAAGAATTCAGCAAACTTATATCCAAGCTGATCTAGTTAGGACCCTTCCCTGCAGAGACATGAGGTATACATTCAACTGAAGTGTCATTGTAATTGTATACCTTCTCAGTTACTGGTCAGGTTGAAGATCATGATGAATATTTGTAGTCCAATGGTATAAATTCTTCTGATGTGTTTCATGAAAGACATGTGGGAGTAGTGCCACCTGCTTTGACATTGATTCCCAGGTGTATGAGTTGCTCCTCTGATTTTAGATCACACTGGTTCTCATCACCTGGCGTATCCACATTGCTATTGACACTGAGTATTTTTAGAAATAGATATATCACAGGTGTGGGCCACCACACCTGACTACTTTTTGTATTTTTAGTAGGGACGAGGTTTCACCATGTTGGCCAGGCTTGTCTTTATTTACTGACCTCAAATGATCCACCCGCCTCGGCCTCCCAAAGTGCTGGGATTAGAGGCGCGAGCCACCACAAGCAGCCTGCATGATTATTGTTATAAAGATAGAATCTTGCTGTGCTGCCCAGGCTGGTCTCAAACTCCTGGGCTCCTCAAGTGATATTTCTGTCTCAGCCTTCTGAGTAAGTGAGATTATAGGAACAAGTTCTTGTGCTCTTTTATGTTTTCAGTATTCTATAGTTTTCTATTGTTTATTTAAAATACATTTTACTTTTTTTTAAAGTGCATCCTGCCGTTGACAAGCATTTAAACAGGTACGATTTTACAGATTTTTTTAAAGTGATGTGTTAACTAAGTGGATAGAGAGAATAGAGACTGGTATCTGTTTAGTGTTCTAAGCTATGTTAGACATCGTATTACCTGATTCACATTTATCATCTCATGTCATCTTCACACAGCTTTACAAAGTATTGGTGCTATTATTGCTTTCTTACTGATGATGCAACTCTGGTTAAAATAGGTTGAAATTTTGGCTCATGATTCCGTAGTTAACAGGTAGCCAACCCATGATTTGACAAGCATCCTGCCTGGCTTTTCAAATCACTTTGCACCTAAGCATACTTAGAGAGAGGTGTGTGCAGCAATGGGATCAAGGTACTGGCTTAAATTAGATGAATTCAGAACGTCACGTTTTGTTATATATTAGTTCTCTTTAGAGTGTCCCTTAGAAGCTTGGCTACTCCAAAAGCTTGTCCTAATATGTTTGGAAATTACACTGGTAACCAGTCCCTGTTTGTTTTTTTTTTGTTGTTGTTGTTTAACAATCAATGTTTTGAAGGCAGATATCAATTATCTGTAGCCAAGGGACTCTAGGGGTTTCATAAGCAAGAGCAGATCAGTCCAAGAGAGAAATCATTTTACTGTACATGGAGAATATCAACACATACTCTATGTTATATTGACTATATTTGGCATATACGGAAAAGATATTTCTAATTCATTTCTCCACTTACTGACTACCCAGTTTGGTTTTCTCTTTGAGTACCCTGCCTAGTTCGATGAAGCTTTTTCTTGTTTTCTGGATTTACTTTTCTCTTTCTATGACATTTAAATAATATTTTCTTGATTTCTTGTTACTTTCTCTTCTGCATTGCTTAGGTTTTTTTTTTTTTTTACTTTCTATTATTGTTTTCATGTATGGTAGCTAAATATTCCCCATTTTCCTATAGACAAAATCAGAAGTGCACAGAATTTCAGAATTTTAAGAAATCCTGGAGACTAAACAAAATATCCTCCATTAGTCAAATCTGTGTTTACCATCCCGATTAAATGGTTGTTTGGGTGGAGAATCTGAAACTGAAAGAGATAAAATTATTCAGTTGGATATTGTAAATGGCAGATATGAGATTTGCACTAGGTTTCTTGATTCAAAACCCAGTCTTCTTTCACATCATTTTGTCATTGAGTGTTTTTATAACAGAAAGAGGGAGTGGCTCTAGTGAACACAGTGGAAGAGGATGAGAATGGAATGAGCTGTTGAACTCAATGAAAGTGGATAAGAATGGAATTTGCAGGGCACAGCTAAGTTTGAAGAGAAATAAACCCTTGAGAAATTGGAAACACCGAATGTTGGGAGTAATGAAGAAAGGCATATTAAAATAGGGCATTCAAGGGGTTCTGAAAAGGCTGCTGCCTTTTTGTTCCTTTTTGAGGAACTACCAAACTTTAAAGATTTTATTGAAAAATGTTAAAAGAACTTGAGCCACTGGAAAGAGTCTCTGGAGTATATAGGAATGTGGTATTATCTTCTTCCACCCAAGCTTACAGAGGCCTTAGAACACCTCACGAATTAGGGAGCTGGAGATTGCTTAAGTACATAGATCTGTGACCCAGGGCGGATGTAATTTTCTTTCTGCCTTTTTTTTCCAATTCTCCCATATACCTGTAGGTTAGGGCAATGGTAGGTTTGGTTGGTAAGTCGGTAATGAAGCTTCATTTGGGTACTTGGTAACATTCCTATGCTTGGGATTACTGACTGAGATTTACTTACTTTCCAGCAGCAGAGGAACAGAGAGCTCCTAATCTCAATTACTTTAGCTTGTCTTTTTAGGCATCTGTCCTTCCTAGGCTGAAGGTGTAGATTGGATACTGCCATGGGTCCCTGCAGGAGAGGGATCCAGAAGTGGGAGTCTATGGGAAGGAAGATAATTAGATAGTAACGAATGAAATGGAGCTGTAACTATTCAGTAGGGAGACTTTTCCCCAGTCTGACTTGGGTGTCTGAGTGTCTATGAAGATTGTTAATCTTGCTGGTTTTTGTGGACCTGAATTAGGGAGGATCTATATAATAACAGCAATTGAATTTTATAATTTTTAGTGTTTTAATCTTCTCTGAAGAATATTCGTGATAACAATGTAAACCTTTATATTTTGATTTTTGTGCCCTCAGCTTTCAAACATGTCCAGTGTTTCAGGGGGCTCCGTGTAGTTTTCTGGGGTAAACAGAATCAATGGGCACTGTTTACATGCTGAAGATCCATGACTCCCATTTTCCAGTGACACAGATTAATCTTTGAATCAGAAATAGATAATGGAGAAGAGACAGTGCATTTTCTACCTCGTTTTAGGTTATCACATTTATTCCAGTTCAGTAGCAAAAGTTCTGTCAGATATTAGATAATTTGTAAGGACAAATTATTGTCTGGTGGTGCCATTGTATTGCCTGTCAGTATTTGTTACGGGTTTAAGGGTGAGTGTTCATTGGATATTTAATAGGCGGGAGAGGTGGAGGCAGAAATAGGTAACTAAAATGTTTTCTAAAACAGAGGCCATATCTACATTATATCAAGAAATATTATTTAATGTACAGCTAACTGACCTTCCTCAGACTTTGTTTTACCATCTTTTTGGGAGGGGACATGGATGTATAGACTGACAGTTTTGTTTTGTTTTAAGAAATGAACCTGCTCATTTCTGTTGTAACTTTTTCCTCTGTAGGCATTTCTGGGCACAGCGTGTTTTTCCCAAGTCTGGGCTAAAGGACGATTCTGATTCTGATTCTGATTCTGTGGTAAAGTACTCACTTGTAAAATTAAATTCTCACTCTGAATCTCATTTTGTATATTACTATCTTCTAGATGTAGCAGTTGTCTACCTATCAGTGTTTTACGGTTGCATTAAAAATTTTATTAGAGATAACCATTTCAAAGACATAGGAGGGGTTAATTTTTATTTTGTTTACTTGGCAAATAAGAAATAGTTGATAAGTACTTTGAGAGGTGGGATCTGAAAAAAATGGGCTGGAAAATATATGCTGACAGGAAAATGATGTTGGAGAATGCTTTCTTGCAATAGAGGAAATAGGAATGTTGGTCTAGACTTATTTGAGTAAGTGTCTTTATTTTGAGTTATAAATAATATGAGTATGAGTAATAATACTTCTGTTTAAATGTGTGTTTAATAGATTAAATGACATTACAGGAATCATGGAATCACCCTGCTACACATAGCGTATAGTTTCTTTTAATTTCTTTTACATTTACTTTGATATATACCATTTTTGCAGTGGACAGTTTCTTTATTTTTACCTTCGGTTCTATAATTAGACTAAAAGAATACCAGAGATTCTGGAAATTTGACTAGACAGGGTAACATATGCCTGTAGTCCCAGCTCTTCAAGAGATGAAGCTAGGAGAATTGCTTGAGTCCATGCAAGACCTTATCTCCAATTAAAAATAAAAAATTGTGGGAGATTAGAAATTTAAGTTCCCTTCTGAAATCTGTATTACAAAGGGTCTACACTGTGTTTTCTAAATATTTTTATAATTAAGAATGCGCTTTAAACGCTTCATCTATTGGAAGAATATACATTTTGTTAAAAAAAAAAACAACAACCTGTTTGATAAGCAGAGACTCTTCATATTCTTATGGTAAGACTTTAATTCCGCAAGGGTTTTGCATTATAATTTAAAAAAATATCCACTCGGGGTCCTTGTATCTCATTCTGAACTTCAAATTTTGGAGTCTTTTGCACTTTGTTCTTGAAAAAGTAGTTGTAAAGCTCCTGCATTACTATGAGCCACTTGAAATAGAGAACATATTTGTATGTATCCTGGAATACGTAGAATAATATCTTGCATATCAAAAACAGTGTAACAGTTTTAGCTGTGAATAAACAAACCAGAAAATGGGCTTTTATATAATGGAATGTTATAGTTAACACATATGCATAATATAGCTAATAATGAAATCTGTTAAATTTCTAGAATGTTTTCAGTTTATCTTTTCTTCTAAGGTTGACAATGTGTAAATTTACGTGACTTCTGTTTAGAAAATACATCATATGGAAGAAAATAAAAATTAGAAAAGATGGATTGAAATTGGAAAGGTGGATACAACATGTTTTCTAATACCTTCCAACTGGAAGCGTAGGTTAGGATTTTGGATAAAATTTTCTTAACTGTTAAAGCTCCAGTCATATTCTATTAAATATATATATTTCAAGGCATACATTATTCTTTGAAATTGTGAATAAAAATTATTAGTCCAGGAGGAAGATCCAAGATGCTCATTTAGGAGCAGCTCGGGATTGCAGCTCCCAGCGAAAGCGCAGAGGGTGAGTGGACACCGCATTTCCAGATGGATCTTTATTGCCCAGAGATCAGGAGATTCCCAGGCAGAGGAGCCCCATGAGTCACCAGTGCGGCTGTTTTGGCCAGCGCGGCTATTTTGCTGGTGCTCCAGCGTGGCAGTTCTCCATACAAAATACACTGGTGTGGTTGTCCTTTTAAGCTGGTGATTGGAACTCCAGGAAGTTAGAGTCGCCCATACACCTCATTAAACAGGGGTCTGAAACAGGGAGCCAGGCCAGGGGATTACCAGGTGAAAAAGTGCCACGAATCTCAGCGCCGTTGTTTCAGACAGTGCAGTGGGTCACCGCATGGGAAATCACACAGATCCCGGTGTTTTTTCAGCAGGCGACTGGAACACCTGGGAGTCAACTGTTCAACTGAAAAAAAAAAAAGACTCTGAGGCAGGGAGCCAGGTGATCAGGCTCGGCGGGTCCCCCCCGCCCGCCCCCGCCACAAAACCCAGCAATTGGAAACCCTCTGGGTTGAGAGTTTCAAGGCAAGCACAGCTGAACCTGGGACAGTCCAGCTCTGTGGGGAAGGGGCATCTGCCATTACTGAGGCACTCCAACCCTACAGAGGTAGTCTGCCATTGCTGAGGCAGCCCACCATTGCTGAGGCAACCCGCCATTACAGAGAGAGTCTGCCATTACAGAGGTGGGCCAGCATTGCCGAGGCAGATCTACAAACACCCACATAAACAGGACTGCAGGGAAGTTCACATGGCAGCCGGGCAGAGCCCACAGCAGCTCAGCAAAGCCTCTGCAGGCAGACAGTGACTAGGCTGCCTCGTTGCTGGGCAGGGTAGCCCTGATAAAAAAGCAAGCAGCACAACAGAAACTCATAAATCAAGCCCTAACTCCCTGGGACAGAGCACCTGGGGAAAAAAAGGGGGATTTATGAGTTCTGCTGCAGCAGATTTAAACGTACCTGCCCAGCATCTCTGAGTGAACAATGGAGCTCACAGCTCAGCACTTGAGCTTCTATAAAGGAAAGACTGTCTCCTCAGGCAGCTCCCTGACCCCCATATATCCAAAGAGTCACCTCACAAAAAACTGATCAGCCTGACATTTGGCAGGCATCATTCTGGGACAAAGATAGAAGAAGAAGAAACTGGTAGCAACCCTTACTGTTCTGCAGCTGCTGCAGGTGATCCCCAGGCAAGCAGGGCCTGCGGTGGACCTCAGCAGTCCTACAGCAGAGGGGCCAGACTGTTAGAAGGAAAACTAAGAAACAGAAATAACTTCATCATGAACAAACTGGATGTCCACTCAGAGACCCTATCTGAAAATCAGCAACTACAAAGAAGACAGGTGGATAGATCCACAAAGATGGGAAGAAACCAGTGCAAAAAGGAGGAAAACACCCAAAACCAGAACACCTCTCCTCCTGCAAGGAGTCACAACTCCTCACCAGCAAGGGAACAAGGCTGGACGGAGAATGCGTGTGATGAAATGACAGAATCAGACATCAGAAGGTGGGTAATGAGAAACTTCTGTGAGCTAAAATAACATGTTCTAACCCATGCAAAGAAACTAAGAACCTTGAAATAAGATTTGACATAATGCTAACGAGAATGGACAATGTAGAGAGGCATATAAGTGAATTGATGGAGCTGAGAAACACAACACGAGAACTTCGTGAAGCATACACAAGTTTCAACAGCTGAATTGACCAAGCAGAAGAAAGGATATCTGAGGTCGAAGATCAACTCAGTGAAACAGAATGAGAAGGCAAGATTAGAGAACAAAAGCATAAAAAGGAATGAACAAAGACCCCAAGAAATATGGGACTATGTGAAAAGACCTAATCTACGTTTCATAGGTGTACCTGAATGTGACGAAGAGAATGAATCCAAGCTGGAAAGTACTCTTCAGGATATTACCCAGGAAAACGTCTCCAACCTAGCAAGGCAGACCAATATTCCAGTGCAGGAAATACAGAGAACACCACAAGGATATTCCTCAAAACGAGCAACCCCAAGGCACGTAATCGTCAGATTCACCAGGGTTGAAATGAAGGAGAAAATGCTAAGGGCAGCCAGAGAGAAAGTTCAGGTTACCCACAAAGGGAAGCCTATCAGACTCACAGCAGATCTCTCAGCAGAAACCCCACAAGCCAGAGGAGAGTGGGGGCCGATATTCAACATCCTTAAAGAAAAGAACTTTCAACCCAGAATTTCATATCCAGCCAAACTAAGCTTCATAAATGAAGGAAAAATAAAATCCTTTGCGAACAAGCAAGTACTCAGAGATTTTGTCACCACCACGCCTGCTTTACAAGAGCTCCTGAAAGAGGCACTACACATAGAAAGGGACAACCAGTACCAGCCACTCCAAAAACATACCAAATGGTAAAGAGCATCAACAAAATGAAGAATCTGCATCAACTAAAGGGCAGAATAGCCAGCTAGCATCAAAATGGCAGTATCAAATTCACACATAACAATATTAACCCTAAATGTAAATGGACTAAACGCCCCAATCAAAAGACACAGACTGGCAAATCGGATAAAAAGCCAAAACCCGTGGGTGTGCTGTATCCAGAAAATCCATCTCACACGATTTACCTCAGTCTTAACTTTTTCCTTGCAGAACACATGTCTTTAGTGTCTGTTTTTTTATTTCACCTCTGTTTCTATTATGAGCATACTTATTGCAGCTTTCTCTTTAGCAGCTATGTGTGGCTTTCATTCATCAATCATTACTCTATAAGGTGGATGGTTGTTTTGTTCTCTATTTTTTGGAAGGAGACGAAGTTATATAATAATTTGTTCTTAGCTTTCAACACAGAGAATACAAGCAACTTGTACTGTTTCCAATGCCAACCCATTTAAATATAGTACTACTAAAAGCCACAGGCTCACATTTTATTCCCACAAAATGTAATTCACACAGATAGATATAATGCATAGATATTTTGAAAAATAATGTGGTTAATTTACTTTTGTATTATTATTCTTATTCAGTGATACCCTAAATTACATACGAGTAAATTTTTGTCCTAGGTTGTTGTGGATAGGAAAAGAAACTAATAGTATCATAGTATTTATATAATAAAAAACTAGAGCTGAAAGGAGTCACATTTTGAGACTATCTATAACACCAGTCATAATCATCAGGGCATTAGAATATGTAGATAAGTAAATGGCAGTCTCAAAATTTGAATCTACCTATGTGTAACTTCAAAAGCTGTACATTTTGTGTTATATTAGGTAGTAATGGCAGCTATTATAATTATTTTAACTTGCTGTATGTTATTCTTAAACTGATTGTGTTTTTCTTCTAGATTGTTTCAAGACCACATGAAATAAAGAGGATTCCTCATGAAGATTCTTTAAAAAATTGTAAGCTGTTTAAGCCTTTCTATTATATTATTTACTGATTCTTCTTTTTTCTTTTCTTTCTTTGTTTCTGTTTTTTTTTTTTTAATTTTAAGACACAGTCTCATACTTTCTGCTGCCCAGGCTAGAGTGCAATGGCACAGACATGGCTCATTGCAACATCCATCTCTTGGAATCAAGTGATTCTCCTGCCCCCACCTCCCTAGTAGCTGGCACTACAGGTGTGTGCCACCACACCAGCTAATTTTTGTATCATTAGAAGCGATGGGGTTTCACCATGTTGGCCATGATGGTCTCAATCACCTGACTTCCAGGGATTCTGCCTCCCAAAGTGCTGGGATTACAAGCTTTAGCCACCATGTCCGGTGTGCATGATTATTTCTATAAAGATAGAATCTTGCTATGTTGGCCTGGCTGGTCTCAAACTCCTGGGTTGCTCAAGTGATACTTCTGTCTCAGCCTTCTGAGTAGCTGAGATTATATTAACAAGCCACTGTGCCCTTTTATGTTTTTAATATTCTATCCTGTGTTTGTCTATACTAGCCTTTGTTACTCTTGGGCATCGGAGACATATGTTTTGTTGACGTTAGTTATTTGAATGAGATAAACATGAATATACGTACATTCACTTTGTTTTTTGAGGAGCTAACTTTTGGATCAAATAGCAGTTTAATAAAAGTTCTTTAGTGAAAAACATGATACTTCAAACCAGACTATATTGGAAAGAAAATAATGTTGAAATCATTAATTGACTCCCAAATAGTTTATTTTCAATGAATATTGGAGTGATATCTGAATGTAGAAGCTTATTAATATCTAGTGCTTGTAGCAGTTTTATTTAGTAGAAGTATGTCAAAACTGATAAAGGATGATACTGTTTATTGAGGCCTATGAGTCTTACCGTGTTGCATGAGTGTGTGAAGAAACTTTCAGCAAGCTCAAGTAGAGGATTCCCTCAATGTAGGAAAGTCATTACACCACAAGGGTTTGAGAAATAATGGATATTATCTACAAGTATTCACCCAACTTATATCCAAGCTGATCTATTTAGGACCCTTCCCTGTAGACATGAAGTATACATTCAACTGAAGTGTCATTGTAATTGTGTACCTTCTCAGTTATTGGGCAAGTTAAAGAGCATGAGGAATATTTGTAGTCTAGTGCTATAAATTCTTTTGATATGTTGCATGAACGATATGTGAGAGTAGTGCCACCTGCTTTGACATTGATTCCCAGGTGTCTGAGTTGCTTCTCTGGTTTTAGATCACATTGGTCCTCATTCCTCAGCATATTGACATTGATACTGATACTCTCTTATTTTTGAAATATTTATATGAAAAATTACATCGCATTTGAAATTGTCAGAGTATATATTGTGAAGCCTGTATTGTTGTTTTCTTCAGTGTGTTTCTGTCATGTTCCTGTTTCAAGACACAAAGTATAAAACCTCAAAGCCTACACGAATACGGGCAGGAAAAGACAGGTTGATGCTAATACGGAATGAATGTATCTTTACCACATTTACATATGGTTTATTATGTATCCCTTTTTCTTTTCAGTGTCTTCTCAGAAACAACTGACCTTGGAGGTAATTACACCCTCATTTGTATTTTGAACTATTAACTGTGTAGTCTATGATATATTCTTTATGTGTTGATTATTTTTCTTCAAATCCCCTTCAGGCTATAAGTGATGAGAAAGATTCCGTTTCCAATATAGCCCCAGAAATAAAGGATGGATCAACATCTGAGACAGGTAATTTTATAAATAAACATTTTATGTCAGGTTAATGCAAGGTAGAAGGGAAGTTCCCTACCCAAATAAATTAGCAGCGGGCTCATTGAAACTGCACATTCTGTTTCAGTAAGCCTAAGTTTCTGCATTGTAATAAGTTATTTGGTGCCATTGATGCTGCTCGTCATTTTCCGTGATCTGAGTAGTATCATTGTAAACCTCTCTACATCAAAACTAAATAGAAGAACCTCTGAAGAGCAATGCAACAGATAGCAAGCTAAAAGGACAGCATTATTTTGCTTTAATTCTACAGCATGTTTTCATCAAGAGGGGAAAGAGGAATATTTGAAGCAATAGAAAGTGTAGACATCAGACGATATCACAAAAAGCAGAGGGAAGAAGTGATCGTAACAACCCGTGAACACTGTAGAACAACAACTAAGGACACCACTGATGGAGTAATTACTTTCCTTAAGGGAGAGAGATTGTGAGGCAGGAGGGAGTGAAAAGAAGAAGTTATTTGTGTAATTTTGGGGATTCTGCTGAGGAAACCTGAGTGAACTCTCTTTAGTTGTACATAGAATATTTGCATAAAAGATTTTTTGTGGCTGATCCAGGAACTACTGGAAGCAGAAAGGAGAGCTGGAATACAGATAAATCACACTGACCCATTGCTCCTCTTCGTTACTGTTAGGCAACAGGGATACATTTTTTTATTTTAGTTATAAAAATCAGATAAACTTGAATATGAATACATTGCCTTTGTTGTTCAAGGAGGTAACTCTTGGAACACATAGCTATTTAATCAAAATTCTTTAGAGAATAATATGCTATTTTAAAGAAGACTTTTAGAAATGAAAGTATTGTTGAGTTCATTAATTCACTCTAAAATGGGTTATTTCAATCCATATTGGAGCGATTTTTGAACGTGACAGCATATTAATATCTAATGAGGCAGTATTATTTTATAGAAGTTTGTCAAAATTGACAATCGTTGATACTTTTTATTGAGGATTTTATATAATACCTTGTTGTCATGGATGATGAAACTTTTGGAAAACTAAACAACAGGATAGAAGAAACACAGGCTAATTAGTACACCACATGAATGTGAGAAATAAGGAATATTATTTACTGGGATTCACCAAACATATATGCAAGCTGATCAATTAGGGACACTTCCACTGAGGAGACCTGAGCTGTACATTTAACTGAAGTGTCATTGTCATTGTGTACCTTCTCCATTATCGGGCAAGTGAAAGAGCATGATGAATGTTTGTAGTATAATGGTATAAATCCTTCTGGTGTCTTGCATGAAATATAAGAGGGAGTATGTACCACCTGCTTTGACATTGATTCCCAGGTGTATGAGTTGCTCCTCTGATTGTAGATCACATTGGTCATCATCACTAAGGATTTGCACATTGATATTGATATTGATATTCTCTTATTTTAGAAATAGTTATATGTCAAATTATATCATGTTGGAATTTGTGACGCCTATATTCCTGTTTTCTTCAGTGTGTTTTTGTCATATTTCTGTCCCAAGGCACAAAGTATAAAACCTCAAAGCCCACACTAATACAGGCAGGAAAATACAGGTTGATGCTAACAGTGCATGAATATATGGATATCTTTATCATATTTACATATGATTTATTATGTATCCCTTTTTCTTTTCAGTGTCTTCTCAGAAACAACCAGCCTTGAAGGTAATTACACTCCTATTTGTATTTTGAACTATTAATTGTGTAGTCTGTGAAATAGACGTTATGTGCTGATTATTGTGCTTCAAATCTGATTCAGGCTACAAGTGACAAGAAAGATTCTGTTTTGAATATAGCCCCAGAAATAAAGGATGGATCAAAATCTGGGACAGGTAATTTTACCATACACATTTAATATCAGGTTAATGCAAGATAGAAGGGAACTTCTCTTCCCAAATAAATCAGTAGGGGGCTCGATGAAACTGCATATTCTGATTCAGGAAGCCTGAGATTCTGCATTTATAATAAGTTATTTGGTGCCACTGATGCTGCGGGTCCTTGTCGGTGATCTGAGTAGTACGATTGTAAACTTCTTTATGTCAAAATTAAATAGAAGGACCTCTGAAGAGCAATTCAAGACATAGGCAGCTCAGGGGACAGCATGATTTTACTTTAATTCTACAGCATGTTTTCTTCTGGAAGGAAGGGAAAAAGAGATGTAGTAATAGAAATGATAGACATCAGGTTGTATTGCTGAAACCAGAGGGATGAAGTGATTGCAATAACCCATAAACACTGTAGAATGAGAGAACTAATGAGACCACTGATGTAATAATTATTTTCTCCAAGGAAGAGGGATTGTGAGGCAGCAAAGAGGGAAAAGGAAAGGTTATGTATGTAATTTAGGGGTTTCTGCTGAGGAAACGTGAATGAACTCACTTTGGATTTATGTAGAATATCTGCGTAAAAGAAGATTTTATTTTGCCTGCTCCAGAAACTACTGGAAACAGGAAAGAGTGCTAGAATTGGGATAAATTGCAGTGACTCATTACCCTTCTTTGTTGCTATTAGGCATCAGAGATAGATGTTTTGTTCATTTCAATTATTGAAATAAGATAAACTTGAATATGAATAGATTGGCTCCATTGGTCAAGGAGCTAACTCTTGAATAAAATAGCTATTTAATTAAATTTCTTTAGAGAAATTGACATTTCAAAGAAGACTATTTTAGAAACAAAAATTATGTTGAATTAATTAACTGACTCCAAAAATGGTTAATTTCAATGAATATTGGAGTGATATCTGAATGTAAATGCTGATTCATATCTAATGCTTGTAGCAGTTTTATTTAGTAGAAGTATGTCAAAACTGATAAAGGATGATACTGTTTATTGAGGCCTATGTGTCTTACCGTGTTGCATGAGTGTGTGAAGAAACTTTCAGCAAGCTCAAGTAGAGGATTCCCTCAATGTAGGAAAGTCATTTCACCACAAGGGTTTGAGAAATAATGGATATTATCTACAAGTATTCACCCAACTTATATCCAAGCTGATCTATTTAGGACCCTTCCCTGTAGACATGAAGTATACATTCAACTGAAGTGTCATTGTAATTGTGTACCTTCTCAGTTATTGGGCAAGTTAAAGAGCATGAGGAATATTTGTAGTCTCGTGGTATAAATTCTTTTGATATGTTGCATGAAAGATATGTGGGAGTAGTGCCACCTGCTTTGACATTGATTCCCAGGTGTCTGAGTTGCTTCTCTGGTTTTAGATCACATTGGTCCTCATTCCTCAGCATATTGACATTGTTACTGATACTCTCTTATTTTTGAAATATTTATATGAAAAATTACATCGCATTTGAAATTGTCAGAGTATATATTGTGAAGCCTGTATTGTTGTTTTCTTCAGTGTGTTTCTGTCATGTTCCTGTTTCAAGACACAAAGTATAAAACCTCAAAGCCTACGCGAATACAGGCAGAAAAATACAGGTTGATGCTAATACGGAATGAATGTTTCTATATCTTTACCACATTTACATATGGTTTATTATGTATCCCTTTTTCTCTTCAGTGTCTTCTCAGAAACAACTGACCTTGGAGGTAATTACACCCTCATTTGTATTTTGAACTATTAACTGTGTAGTCTATGATATATCCTTTATGTGTTGATTATTTTTCTTCAAATCCCCTTCAGGATCTAAGTGATGAGAAAGATTCCGTTTCCAATATAGCCCCAGAAATAAAGGATGGATCAACATCTGAGACAGGTAATTTTATAAATAAACATTTTATGTCAGGTTAATGCAAGGTAGAAGGGAAGTTCCCTTCCCAAATAAATTAGCAGCGGGCTCATTGAAACTGCACATTCTGTTTCAGGAAGCCTAAGTTTCTGCATTGTAATAAGTTATTTGGTGCCATTGATGCTGCTCGTCATTTTCCGTGATCTGAGTAGTATCATTGTAAACCTCTCTACATCAAAACTAAATAGAAGAACCTCTGAAGAGCAATGCAACAGATAGCAAGCTAAAAGGACAGCATTATTTTGCTTTAATTCTACAGCATGTTTTCATCAAGAGGGGAAAGAGGAATATTTGAAGCAATAGAAAGTATAGACATCAGACGATATCACAAAAAGCAGAGGGAAGAAGTGATCGTAACAACCCGTGAACACTGTAGAACAACAACTAAGGACACCACTGATGGAGTAATTACTTTCCTTAAGGAAGAGAGATTGTGAGGCAGGAGGGAGGGAAAAGAAGAAGTGATTTGTGTAATTTTGGGGATTCTGCTGAGGAAACCTGAGTGAACTCTCTTTAGTTGCATATAGAATATTTGCATAAAAGAAGATTTTATTGTGGCTGCTCCAGAAACTACTGGAAACAGGAAAGAGTGCTAGAATTGGGACAAACCACAGTGACTCATTACCATTCTTTGTTGCTATTAGGCGTCAGAGATAGATGTTTTGTTCATTTTAAGTACTGAAATAAGATAAACTTGAATATGAATACGTAGGTTCCATTGGTTTGATGAAATTTCTTTATAGGATAACAAATTTCAAAGAAGACTATTTTAGAAAGAAAAGTTATGTTGAATTCATTAAGTGACTCAAAAAATATTTATTTTGAATGAATATTGGAGTGATATCTGAATGTAGAAGCTTATTAATATCTAGTGCTTGTAGCAGTTTTATTTAGTAGAAGTATGTCAAAACTGATAAAGGATGATACTGTTTATTGGGGCGTATGTGTCTTCCCGTGTTGCATGAGTGTGTGAAGAAATTTTCCGAAGGCTCAAGTAGAGGATTCCCTAAGTGTAGGAAAGTCATTACACCACAAGGGTGTGAGAAATAATATATATTATCTACAAGAATTCAGCAAACTTATATCCAAGCTGATCTAGTTAGGACCCTTCCCTGCAGAGACATGAGGTATACATTCAACTGAAGTGTCATTGTAATTGTATACCTTTTCAGTTACTGGGCAAGTTGAAGATCATGATGAATATTTGTAGTCCAATGGTATAAATTCTTCTGATGTGTTGCATGAAAGACATGTGGGAGTAGTGCCACCTGCTTTGACATTGATTCCCAGGTGTATGAGTTGCTCCTCTGATTTTAGATCACACTGGTTCTCATCACCTGGCGTATCCACATTGCTATTGACACTGAGTATTTTTAGAAATAGATATATCACAGGTGTGGGCCACCACACCTGACTACTTTTTGTATTTTTAGTAGGGACGAGGTTTCACCATGTTGGCCAGGCTTGTCTTTATTTACTGACCTCAAATGATCCACCCGCCTCTGCCTCCCAAAGTGCTGGTATTAGAGGCATGAGCCACCACAAGCAGCCTGCATGATTATTTTTATAAAGATAGAATCTTGCTGTGCTGCCCAGGCTGGTCTCAAACTCCTGGGCTCCTCAAGTGATATTTCTGTCTCAGCCTTCTGAGTAAGTGAGATTATAGGAACAAGTTCTTGTGCTCTTTTATGTTTTCAGTATTCTATAGTTTTCTATTGTTTATTTAAAATACATTTTACTTTTTTTTAAAGTGCATCCTGCCGTTGACAAGCATTTAAACAGGTACGATTTTACAGATTTTTTTAAAGTGATGTGTTAACTAAGTGGATAGAGAGAATAGAGACTAGTACCTGTTTAGTGTTCTAAGCTATGTTAGACATCATATTACCTGATTCACATTTATCATCTCATGTCATCTTCACACAGCTTTACAAAGTATTGGTGCTATTATTGCTTTCTTACTGATGATGCAACTCTGGTTAAAATAGGTTGAAATTTTGGCTCACGATTCCGTAGTTAACAGGTAGCCAAACCATGAATTGACAAGCATCCTGCCTGGCTTTTCAAATCACTTTGCACCTAAGCATACTTAGAGAGAGATGTGTGCAGCAATGGGATCAAGGTACTGGCTTAAATTAGATGAATTCAGAACGTCACGTTTTGTTATATATTAGTTCTCTTTAGAGTGTCCCTTAGAAGCTTGGCTACTCCAAAAGCTTGTCCTAATATGTTTGGAAATTACACTGGTAACCAGTTCTTGTTTGTTTTTTTTTTTGTTGTTGTTTAACAATCAATGTTTTGAAGGCAGATATCAATTATCTGTAGCCAAGGGACTCTAGGTGTTTCATAAGCAAGAGCAGATCAGTCCAAGAGAGAAATCATTTTACTGCACATGGAAAATATCAACACATAGTCTATGTTATATTAGCTATATTTAGCATATACGGAAAAGGTATTTCTAATTCATTTCTCCACTTACTGACTACCCAGTTTGGTTTTCTCTTTGAGTACCCTGCCTAGTTCAATGAAGCTTTTTCTTGTTTTCTGGATTTATTTTTTTCTTTCTATGACATTTAAATAATATTTTCTTGATTTCTTGTTACTTTCTCTTCTGCATTGCTTAGGTTTTTTTTTTTTTTTACTTTCTATTATTGTTTTCATGTATGGTAGCTAAATATTCCCCATTTTCCTATAGACAAAATCAGAAGTGCACAGAATTTCAGAATTTTAAGAAATCCTGGAGACTAAACAAAATATCCTCCATTAGTCAAATCTGTGTTTACCATCCCGATTAAATGGTTGTTTGGGTGGAGAATCTGAAACTGAAAGAGATAAAATTATTCAGTTGGATATTGTAAATGGCAGATATGAGATTTGCACTAGGTTTCTTGATTCAAAACCCAGTCTTCTTTCACATCATTTTGTCATTGAGTGTTTTTATAACAGAAAGAGGGAGTGGCTCTAGTGAACACAGTGGAAGAGGATGAGAATGGAATGAGCTGTTGAACTCAATGAAAGTGGATAAGAATGGAATTTGCAGGGCACAGCTAAGTTTGAAGAGAAATAAACCCTTGAGAAATTGGAAACACCGAATGTTGGAAGTAATGAAGAAAGGCATATTAAAATAGGGCATTCAAGGGGTTCTGAAAAGGCTGCTGCCTTTTTGTTCCTTTTTGAGGAACTACCAAACTTTAAAGATTTTATTGAAAAATGTTAAAAGAACTTGAGCCACTGGAAAGAGTCTCTAGAGTATATAGGAATGTGGTATTATCTTCTTCCACCCAAGCTTACAGAGGCCTTAGAACACCTCACGAATTAGGGAGCTGGAGATTGCTTAAGTACATAGATCTGTGACCCAGGGCGGATGTAATTTTCTTTCTGCCTTTTTTTTCCAATTCTCCCATATACCTGTAGGTTAGGGCAATGGTAGGTTTGGTTGGTAAGTCGGTAATGAAGCTTCATTTGGGTACTTGGTAACATTCCTATGCTTGGGATTACTGACTGAGATTTACTTACTTTCCAGCAGCAGAGGAACAGAGAGCTCCTAATCTCAATTACTTTAGCTTGTCTTTTTAGGCATCTGTCCTTCCTAGGCTGAAGGTGTAGATTGGATACTGCCATGGGTCCCTGCAGGAGAGGGATCCAGAAGTGGGAGTCTATGGGAAGGAAGATAATTAGATAGTAACGAATGAAATGGAGCTGTAACTATTCAGTAGGGAGACTTTTCCCCAGTCTGACTTGGGTGTCTGAGTGTCTATGAAGATTGTTAATCTTGCTGGTTTTTGTGGACCTGAATTAGGGAGGATCTATATAATAACAGCAATTGAATTTTATAATTTTTAGTGTTTTAATCTTCTCTGAAGAATATTCGTGATAACAATGTAAACCTTTATATTTTGATTTTTGTGCCCTCAGCTTTCAAACATGTCCAGTGTTTCAGGGGGCTCCGTGTAGTTTTCTGGGGTAAACAGAATCAATGGGCACTGTTTACATGCTGAAGATCCATGACTCCCATTTTCCAGTGACACAGATTAATCTTTGAATCAGAAATAGATAATGGAGAAGAGACAGTGCATTTTCTACCTCGTTTTAGGTTATCACATTTATTCCAGTTCAGTAGCAAAAGTTCTGTCAGATATTAGATAATTTGTAAGGACAAATTATTGTCTGGTGGTGCCATTGTATTGCCTGTCAGTATTTGCTACGGGTTTAAGGGTGAGTGTTCATTGGATATTTAATAGGTGGGAGAGGTGGAGGCAGAAATAGGTAACTAAAATGTTTTCTAAAACAGAGGCCATATCTAAATTATATCAAGAAATATTATTTAATGTACAGCTAACTGACCTTCCTCAGACTTTGTTTTACCATCTTTTTGGGAGGGGACATGGATGTATAGACTGACAGTTTTGTTTTGTTTTAAGAAATGAACCTGCTCATTTCTGTTGTAACTTTTTCCTCTGTAGGCATTTCTGGGCACAGCGTGTTTTTCCCAAGTCTGGGCTAAAGGACGATTCTGATTCTGATTCTGATTCTGTGGTAAAGTACTCACTTGTAAAATTAAATTCTCACTCTGAATCTCATTTTGTATATTACTATCTTCTAGATGTAGCAGTTGTCTACCTATCAGTGTTTTACGGTTGCATTAAAAATTTTATTAGAGATAACCATTTCAAA